GAAGACAATAGGAAACGATGAGCCCTATGAACCCGACTGAGAAGCTCCAAAACCCCGAAAATTTGGTTTGTTCGGGGCAGGATTCTTGCGTCGCACACACGGCAGAGTGCAACTGCAAGAACTCTCAGAAGTTCCAGTACCCTAACAGACCCTCAGCTCGACCCTACACTCTAAATCCTATAAGCCTTGAACTCGAGACCCTGAACCCTAAACCCTACAAACCCTACAAACCCTACAAACCCTACAAACCCTAATACCTAAACCCAATAGACCTTTGAACCCTATTTCTATACCCTACACCTTGTAAGCCCCCCAAACGAGGAAGCTCAATCTTCGCTGTTTGTGGCGACAAATTCAGCTCCCGCAGCTTTGTCTCAAGCCTGCCAAGATTTCCGCCAAATCCCTTGAGTTCCTATTACATCTTTTTGAGAGCCTTGGCTGCCCTAAGCCGTTTAGGGTTTAGGGTTTAGGGTTTAGGGTTTAGGGTTTAGGGTTGAGAGCCTTGGCTGAGTGGTACCTTGGCATGTTCCACCTTATACTCATCCCTTCTTAATAGGGATCAAGTTTCCCCCTAGTGTGCTCCCTATTGCGGGCTGTTAGTATAAGGGGGAACATTCCAAGTGGTACCCTGTTGCCCTGTTTTGGGGGTTCTGGGACCCTAACCCCAAACACAAACCCCAAACCCTAAACCCTTTAGAAACGTATCCCACACCAAAACAGGACAGGGGTCCTCCTTAGAAGGGAATCCTACTATTGGTCTCCATTTTAGGGGTTGAGGGTTTAGGGTTTAAGGTTTAACCCTAAACCCCAAACCCTAAACCCCAAACCCTAAACCCTAAACCCCAAACCCTAAACCCTAAACCCCCTTGTGGTTCCTGCGCGTCCCAGGACTCATGCGGCCAGCCCTCGTGGCCGGGTTGCTGCTGGTGCTGCGGGCGTCTCTTGGGCTAGAATCTAGGGGCTTTGAGGGGTTAATTTTGTTTAGGGTGTAGGTTTAGGGTTTAGGGTTTAGGGTTTAGGGTTTAGGGTTTAGGGTTTAGGGTTTAGGGTTTAGGGTTTAGGGCGTTAGGGTTTAGGATTTTGGGTTTAGGGTTTAGGGCTCGGGGTTTCGGGATCGCATGAGAGTTTCGTGCTGTGGGCGATGGGGTTGAGGGCGGAGGGCTTGGGGCACGCTAAACCCTAAACCCTAAACCCTAAACCCGAAACCCTTGGTGGTTAGGATGGACCCTCAGGTCTTGAGTCCACACCCACACTTGAAGGTTCATGGGTACTTGCAAGTAGGTTTAAAAGTACGCCAAAAAAGGGGAGGGGGTGAGGAGGTAGTTACAACCCTTAGGGTTTAGGGGCTTAGGGTTTAGGGTTTAGGGTTTAGGGTTTAGGGTTTAGGGTTTAGGGTTTAGGGTTTAGGGTTTCGCGCTACTTATGAGTGGGGATATAAGTACCACAAGGTTATAACCATAGTTACCCTACTTATAATTAAGCCCCCTTATAAGTACCCATGAACGTCCAAGCTGCGCCCTCAGGCATGCATATCGAGATTCCGATAGCCTGGCGCCCAGCATCCCGTGAGAGAGAGAGAGAGGGAGCGGCCGTGTATTTGGCAGATTCGAAACCCTAAACCCTAAACCCTAAACCCTAAACCCTAAACCCTAAACCCTAAACCCTAAACCCTAAATTTGGAGTCTGGAGATCCTTGGCCCTTCCCGTAATGTTTAAGACATCCCGTATATGGGACAAAATCAAATTCGACCTCTGGCACGACTCAAAATGGCTATCCGACTCTCTGAGGGCTTCTTACCTCCCGTGAGAGACGGTTTAGGGTTTAGGGTTTAGGGTTTCGGGTTTTGGGTTTAGGGTTTAGGGTTTAGGGTTTAGAGCTGAGATGCCCAGTAGTACCCTTGTTCCCTTTTTTCAGGAGTTTGGCTTCCCTTATAAGCCACTTTACGCACAAACGGGGCACCCGTTTTAATCCTAGGTTGCCGGGCAACCTAGGATTACCTACTGTTAACATCCCTAAACCCTACATGATTGCAGGTTATTGCAAGAATACCCCCTTTCGAGCATTCTTAGGTACGCTAAAGGAAGGTTTTGTGTTCTTAAGGTAGAGACTGTCTGTTAAAATGGCTGAGCTTCCGCAATGTGACTCTTGGCTACAAGTAGGTCCGTCTAGCTTCGAGTCCAGGCCATGTTGTGCGTCTGGAGCGTTTCCGGCCAAAAGCTGGCTGCGGGCGACGCGTTCGACGACGTGATCGCCTTGAAACGCCTCTTGCGTGGCCAGCATGGCTTTCCAGTCTACCTTCAGCAGCTCCTACATGCTGGCCGCTGCTTAGACGATAGCGCTTCTTTAGTTGGGCCCGGGGACCTGCAGCTGGTGCTGGTATCCGCCCTCAGCCTGGAGCAGATGCCTCAAGCTGAAGAAGAGTTTCTTGAGTATGCTGCCCGTACTGGCCATGTGGAAGTGGCGCGTGCGCTGCTGGAAGCTGGTGTCAACAAGAATTCGCAGAACCAGCAGGGTACATCCAGTCTCATGCTCGCATCTTCCATGGGCCATGTCGACATGGTACGCTTGCTGCTGGAGGCTGGTGCCGACACAAACTTACAGGACATTTCAGGCACGGCGGCTCTCATGCACGCATCTTCCAAGGGCCACATCGAGATTGTACGTTTGCTGCTGGAAGCTGGTGCCGACAAGAACTTGCAGGACCAGCAGGACATGTCCAGTCTCTTGCTCGCATCATCCATGGGCCACGTCGAGATTGTACGTCTACTGCTGGATGCTGGTGCTGACAAGAGCTTGCAAAACCGACAGTATATGTCCAGCCTCATGCTCGCATCTTCCATGGGCCACATCGACATTGTACGTTTGCTGCTGAATGCTGGTGCCGATAGGAATTTGCAGGACCAGCAGGATGTGTCCAGTCTCATGCTCGCATCATCCATGGGCCACGTCGAGATTGTACAGTTGCTGCTGGAGGCTGGTGCCGACACGAACTTGCAGAACAGGTATGGTGCGACCGCTCTGATTCTTGCATTTTCCAAGCGCCACGTCAAGGTTGTACGTTTGCTGCTGGACGCTGGTACCGACACGAACTTGCCGGACATGTCCGGCACGACCGCTCTCATGCTCGCATGTTCCTTGGGCAACGTCGAGATTGTGCGTTTGCTGCTGGACGCTGGTGCCGACGCGAACATACAGGACACTTCCGGCACAACCGCTCTCATGCACGTATCTTCCAAGGGCCACGTCGAGATTGCACGCTTGCTGCTGCAAGCCGGTGCTGACAAGAGCTTGCAGAACAGGTACAGCGCGGGCGCTCGCATGCTCGCATCCTCCAAGGGCCACGTCGAGATTCTTCAGTTGCTTTCGGCTGAAGACGAACCCTCCTCCCCCACAGACCCCCTATTTCCAGGGGAATCCAGCGGGTCCGGGCGAAAGACTGTCTCGTTACATTTAATTTCTGAGCTGGTTCTCAGTAGGGAACAAGGGAATGAGGTACCCTATAGAATCCCTTAAAGGGTACTAAACCCTAAACCCTAAACCCTAAACCCTAAACCCTAAACCCTAAACCCTAGACCCTAGACCCTAAACCCTAAACTATAGGAATCAGGGGGAGTATGTCCTCGGGGAGTTCTGGGGGCTTTTGGTTATCGGAGCCCTGCCTTTAGGGCGCCCGGCTCTCTGAGTTCTCCCTGTGAGGGTTTCGGGTTTGGGGTTTGGTAGAGGTTTTCAAGCTCTCCCTCCGCACCCACCCCCTCCCCCCCCCCCAAAAAAAAAAAAAAAAAACATGGATACACAAAACGATGGAGTAGACAAAATTTGTGGACCTTCTTCGTGCGATTTGGAGTATAAGTTTTTGTCGTAGTCACCCTAAGTTCCCAAAAGCCGTAGATGGGGGGGGGGGGGTCCCCTTCCTTCTCTGACCATCCTAGAGTACCCCCCAACCCCCCAAAGCTCTCTTCATCCAGCTCCCGAAACAAAAAAGCAACAAGGAGAAGCCCTGACTTCAAACCCGAGGCCGTAAACCCGAAGCAACCTAAGTCACTACACCAACCCTAAACCCTAAACACTAAGATTCTAAACCCTAAACCCTAAACCCTGAACCCTGAACCCTGAACCCTGAACCCTAAACCGCCTCTGAGATGTCGGCCACCTGACCAGCGCAGAGGATCTCCACCGCCTCTTTGGCTTCACGGGTCGAGTGGGGGTTTAGGGTTTAGGGTTAAGGGTTTATAAGGGTTAAGGGTTTAGGGTTTAGGGTTTAGGGGTTAGGGGTTAGGGGTTAGGGGTTCGGGGTTTTGGGGTTTTGGGGTTTTGGGGTGTTGGGGCTTATAACTCTCTAAGACCCTAACCGTTTAAGGGAACTAGCTTCTGGGCTTTAAGGTGGGAGGGGAGTTGGGGATTTTTGCTGTTATTTAGAACCGCGGCCCTCAAGAAGATACTGGGATTCATGGTTGGGGGTTTAGGGTTTGGGGTTTAGAGCTTAGGGTGTAGGATTGAAATTTGAACCTGCCGCAAACCCCAATTCAAGCCCGCCCCAACGCCCAATTTGCTCTAAAACCACAAAAACCTCAAAACAAAAGCCGAAGCCCTTAAAATCCCTTGAGCCCCTCAAACCAAAACCCTTAGAACCCTTTAACGCCCGAGACTCCAGCCAACAGTCTTGAACGGCCTCGGTTCAGGGTGAATTGGAAGGCTCATGGGAACTTATAATAAGTGTTTTTGTTGTACTGTTTCTGCTTTATTATATTTTTTTCTTTTTTTTTTGGGGGGGGGGGGGGGGGGTTCGGGCTGTTATGGTTTGTAATTTTCTTGGTGTTGTTCCGTTAAAGCTTTAAGGGCTTTAGGTTTTTCAAGGTCTGGGTTGTATGGTTTAGTGTTAAGGGTTTAGGGCTAGGGCTTCAGGGAACTTCAGTCAAGGGACGAAAGGAGGGACCCTTGTAGGGGACCCTAGAGGTTAGGGGTTCTTCACAGGGCTGCCCCTGGTACTTATCATCCGTGCATGTGGATTTGGTCTGGAAAGTTTTGTTTGCTCTGCTGGATAGCAGTATTCTCTGGATTTAGCCACGGGGCGCTCTGCACCGGAGCCTGGGTGGCACAGGAAAGCTCGGAGAATAAGGACGCGCTCAAGGACTCTGCTGAGGTGTTTGTCACCAACAACACCTACGATTGCAGATATCTGCAGAGCCCGAAAAAGACTGCAGTCGCACCACAGCAGTTCTCAGCTGGTAGGGGCGACCGATATCGTCCTGGGTGCCATCACGATGGCAGATGGAAAGGCCTGGAAGTGTGGGCAGTGCAAGCAGCAGAACAAAGTCACCCAGAACTTTTGTGGCAAGTGCGGCTCTCACTGGCAAGTGGGGGCGAGGCCGGAACAGGCCTACTGGACACAGCAGCCACCAGCCCCCTGGAAGGGGCCGAGAGAGAACAAAGGCTGGGAATCTCCTCGAAGAAAGTCCCCGCGGTCACCGAGGTCCCGCGGCAAGGAACAGGGAATGGGTGTATAGGGACCATATAAAAACCCTAAACCCTAAACGGTCTTTTCAGGGGAATGAGATTGTTGGAGCACTCCTTTGCCCAGGAGATCCCGAGGCATCTGAGGGCCCTCACGACACCGTGAAGTCCGACTCTTGTGCTCAAGGGAAGGGTTTAGGGTTTAGGGTTTAGGGTTTGGGGTTTGGGGTTTGGGGTTTGGGGTTTGGGGTTTGGGGTTTAGGGTTTAGGGTTCATAAGCTTTTGGGGTTTAGGGTTTGGGGTTTAGGGTTTAGGGTTTTGGGGTTCGGGCTTAGGGCTTAGGGTTTAGGGCGTAGCCGTGTGAACCGCCCTTCCCCGGCACCTTCCCCGCCCCCTGGCCCACTTGCCTCCCACCCCACTGATAAGCCCCACCTGTGCTCGGAGCCTCTGAAACCCAGACGCACCCTTAACCCCAAGCAATACCATCTTGGAAACCCTAAACCCCAAACCCTAAACCCTAAACCCCAAACAACTTTGGGGATGTTTGGTTCAGGTTTCCTGCTCTTTGGTTGATAGGGTCTAAACCTTTCCTCCGAATATTACCCCCCCCCCCCTGCGCCCTAACGGGGGTGGGGGTTTAACATTAGGGGGAGGGGATTAATGTATTCTTCCCCGTTTTTTTTGTGCATAGTGGGGGGTAATTAGGGATGGAGGGGGGGGTTCTTCCTTGGGTTTTGCGTTTAGCTTTCCCCTCTGGGCTAATACCTAGAGCGCCCATCGCCCTAAATCCCAAACACCTGTTTGCAGCCTGCTAGAGGACGGTGGAAGTCCATACCTGGAGTTTAGGGTTTAGGGTTTAGGGTTTAGGGTTCAGGGTCCAGGGTTCAGGGTTTAGGGTTTAGGGTTTAGGGTTTAGGGTTCAGGCGTCTTTGTGACACAATGTTGGGACTGAGGACTTCAAGGCTGAGGTTCAGGGCATACCGGGTAGGATCAAGTGTTTCCTTTTTTTTTTTTTTTTTGGGGGGGGGGGGTCCGAGCTTGAGGTGTAGGATTTAGATTGTGTTTTAGGGTGTAGGTTTTAGGGTTTAGGTTTTAGGGTTTTCGGGTTTAGGGTTTAGGTTTTAGGGTTTAGGGTTTAGGGTTTAGGGTCCCGGGCTAAAGGTGTAGAGGCCTTTTTTGGGCGCAGGGTTTCAGACGTAGGATGTGAAGGTTTTGGGGCTCATGCCCATCCACTTGTCTCCCGAGGCAGCCCACAGGCGACAAACAAACCCTAAACCCCATGACCAGGGTTTAGGGTTCAGGGTTCAGGGTTCAGGGTTTAGGGTTTAGGGTTCAGGGTTTAGGGTTTAGGGTTTAGGGTTGCGGGGGCAACCTCGCGAATCCCCTGAACTCTAAATCCACCCGCTTGCTTCCGTCTTTTGTATGGTTCCCTGTTGGGGTAGTATCTATCGTCCCTTAGCTGACCCTCAGGTTTAGGGCTACGGTTCATGCGGCAACCACGAAGCCTCTGAACCACCCAGGCCCAGGCAGCTGCCAAGCCCTAAAAACAAAATCCTAAACCCTAAACAAACCCTGTACAAGCCCTAAACACGCTGGAAAAACCCTAGACCCTACATAAACCCTGTAAAACCCTAAGCCCGAAATAAACCCTAAACCCTAAGCCCTATGTAAACGCTAAACACACTGCTGCGCAAGGACAAAGAGGACCCTCTGTCTGCAGACTATGGCGGCCTCAGGTTAAGGGCATCATAACCCCTTGTAATTGGTTAGGGTTTAGGGTTTAGGGTTTAGGGTTTAGGGTTTAGGGTTTAGGGTTTAGGGTCTTAGATGGATTCGGGAACCCCAAATTCAACAGTGCCTGCAATGCAGGTCAAGCCCCGCCAGATAGGTTTAGGGTCCCAGTATGCTTTTCCGCTCATTGACCGCGCAGTTGTCCAGCTTGTCGTGCCTTTGGCTACAGAGTGTTCGGGGTCACCCGAGATGCAGCCCTAAACCCCAAACCCTAAACCCTAAATCCTAAACCCTAAACCCTAAACCCCGGAATTGCCCAACAACAACCTGGCCTGCATAGCGCTTGTTTGAGCATGTACTAGGCACCATTTTTTGTTGGACTTCGCCGAGGATGGAGGGAACTGACTAGGGTCTTTGGGGTTTGGGGTTTAGGGTTTGGGATTTAGGGTTTAGGGTTTAGGGTCTAGGGTTTGGGGTTTAGGGATTCGTTAGGGGTTTGGGGTTTGGGGTTTAGGGAACGAACATACTAGCCGCAATGAAAGCACCACGATTGATGTCCCGACTATTACCATCTACATCTGCGACGACGACGACGACGACGACGACGACGACGACGACGACACTGCCTTTTGCACTGTGGCTAGTACGTACGGTTACGTTGATTACGAATTGCTATGTCCATTGGGGTCCATGTACCTCATGATTATACCACTTGGGCCCCAAAGTCTTTATGTAGGGAGTACCCAAGTAATCCCGATTTTGGTGGGTTTAGGGTTTAGGGTTTAGGGTTTAGGGTTTAGGGTTTAGGGTTTAGGGTTTCGGGTTTCGGGTTCAGGGCTTAGGTACATGAACCAGAATAGCCATCCTGGAGAACCACCAGGTAGTTTTTCTGTCTTTCCCCTATTGCCTAAACCCTAAACCCTAGACCCGAAACCCTAAACCCTAAACCCGAAACCCGAAACCCTAAACCCTAAACCCTAAACCCTAAACCCTAAACCCTAAACCCTAAACCCTAAACCCTAAACCCTAAGCCAAGGAGGAAGACGCGCCGCCAGACTGCCACTCGAAGTTCACAGCGCTCAGAAACTGGACCCCCTGCGGGAAGAGATCCCCTTGAAGCCCTAAAAACCCTACAGGGTTTAGGGTTTAGGGTTTAGGGTTTGGGGTTTGGGGTTTGGGGTTTTGGGTTATAGGGTTTAGGGCTTAGGGGTTTTGGGATTGAGGGTCCTAAGATGTGGGATATGGGGTTTCGTGTTTAGGGTTTACGGGGGGGGGGGGGGGGCACGATGTGTTCAATGCTTCCTTTCCAGGCGTTTTAGACAGCTCCGCAAAGGCAAAAAGTGTTTTAGGGTCTAGAGTTTAATGAATAACAGGAGCCGATTCACAGGGCGCCTATATGAGGTTTTTTTCTGCATTGGTCTATAAGGCTTGGCTTGAGCTTCCCTACAGGGGCTTCTCATTCCGAGCCCGAAACCCTAAACCCTAACCCTAAGCCCTCTAAACCCTGAACCCCTGAACGCCCAGATCCCTGAACCCTAGAATCCTAAGACAAAAACCTGAAGTGAGGGTGGTGGACTTCATTCCGCTCGAAGAAAAGATCCGCGAGTTCGTGCGGGTTCCCACGAAAGAGGCCGACGCGCAGGCCGGAAACCCTAAACCCTAAACCCCAAACCCTAAACCCTAAACCCCCAACCCTAAACCCTAAACACTAAGCCCTGTCATCCTTCCCTCGGCCTCTCGACCCCCCCTGGCCCAAAACTTGAACCCCTCCCCGAGGGATCCTCGGCACCACCCAGCATGCTCTCCAGGCCTAATATGGGGGTCGGAAAAAATTTCGCCCTTATGGCGCCTTTAGAATTATACTACAAGAGCCCCCGAAACCCTATTCTAATTATTAAGGCCCCTTTGGTAGGGTTTGGCTTGGGGTTTCCGGGGTTGCTACAGGGTGTTGGGGCTTGACCGGCTTAGGGTTTGTCGGGTTTATGGGCTTGGGGTGTGGTGTGGTGGGGTGGGGTGGGAGGGGCGGAGCTTTTTAAATGGCTAGGTTCAGGGTTTAGCATTTAGTGGTTAGGGCACGGTAGGAGTTTAGGGTTTAGGGGGGGGAGGGTGGGGGAGGGTGGGGGGGGGGTTGGGGGGTGGGGAGGGGGTGGGGGGGGAGGGGGTGGGGGGAGGGTGGGAGTGTGGTGGGGGAAGGTGGGGGGGAGGGGTGGAGGGTATGGGGGGGGGGGGGGGGGGGGGGGGGGGGTGGGGGAGAGGGTGGGGGGGGGAGGGAGGGTAGAACGCACCCGCATACTAGACTTGGATCCACCGAAAATGAAGGTCATGGAATTTGGAACAACCTCCCCTGACATGGAGGCTTAAGGCCTAATGTTGAGGGTTTCGGGGCGTGGAGGCTTTGTAGTTGCTTGAAAGATGTTCGGCTTGAAGGGTTTTCGGATGACTTGCACCGCTGGCCAAGATTCTGGCCCCTTGAGTTCTGTCCGTTCCTTCGATCAGGCAGCAGCCAGACTAAGAAACGTTCATTTTGGGTGTCCGCATTTTTTGCAGACACAACGCGTCGTATTAGCTGAATATTTCGCCCGCAAGACCGACAAGCTGCACCTGTCCCCGGCAGGACTCCTTTGGGGGTCTCGTGGGCTTCGAGGGCGAGGGCGCGGAAAAAATCCTCGTGCGCTTGGGCGCGCCTGGGCTGGCTTAGTTTGGGGTTCAGGGTTAAAAGCCCTAACCCCTACGCCCTAAGCCCTAAACCCGAAGCCCTTTAAGCTCTAAGACCATCTTCAGAACCTTCATATGGCAGTCATTGAAGAGGCCTCAAGGAATCCCGGCTGCGGTAGTCAGTTTCTGAAGCTGTCCTTGATCTATGGATCTCGTCGATTTGGGCACCTCTTGCGAAGGATCACGAGCTCTGAACCCTGCAAAATGTTTGTTTCGTAGTTGATGCATCGTCTTGGGGGCTGGATTGGTTTAGTACCTTGATCACGCCCTTCATGCAATGTGCATCTCAATCCCGGGTACACTGACCTGCTACCGAGGCCAAGATCACTTTCGTCAAGGAGGTGGGCGGGAGCGGGCACAGTGGGGTCATGCAGTCATGCGGACCAGGTTTTGGAGCATTTTCCAACCCTAAAGCACTAAGCCCTATGAGACTGAAATCCTGGGGCCTTCGCAAAGATGCCAATATCCTTCAGCGAACATGAACGGCCACACATGGGTGCGGCAAAAGCTATGAAAGATCAGTCCTTGTATCCGAAAACCTTCAACACCATGGTTTAGGGTTGCGGGTTCGGGGATTAGGACCTGAAACCCTAAACCCTAGACCCTGAACCCGAAAAGAGTACTGTACAAATCGTATGCTTCCAAAATTGGTGAGCATGGGCAAGCATACCAGAGTTGTTGGGGTACAACGTACCGTTTTTTTCGTGGATACAGGTTGACCCAGGGCTTTCAACCCTGAACTCCAAACCCCTGCTCCGTGTGAACCTTTCAACCATGTATCTCCAACAGTTTCAGAGTTCGATGCCCTTCAACGTCGGAGGCCTGCAAGGGTTTAGGGTTGAGGGACCCCCAGGCCCTAAACCCCAAACCCCAAACCCTAAACCCTAAACACTAAACCCTAAACCCTAAAGCCTAAACCCTAAACTACGTCTTGACTAAACTTGCCACTGCAACAAACTCACTTGCCACTCTAACCTAACTACACTCTTCTACTCCTGCACTGACTGCCCCCCCCCCCCCCCCCCCCCCCCCCCATATCACGGCGACCCCCTGCGAGGACAAGGACTGCAAGCTGAAACCCGAGGTGCCGCGGGCGGAGTCGGGCAGGGTTTTGGTTTCGGGGTTTGGGGTTTAGGGTTTAGGGTTTGGGGTTTGGGGTTTGGGGTTTAGGGTTTAGGGTTTAGGGGTTGAGGGGTTTTAGGGGTTTTAGGGGTTTTTAGGGGTTTTAGGGGTTTTTTCAGGGGTTTCAGGGGTTTCAGGGGTTTTAGGGGTTTTAGGGGTTTTAGGGGTTTTAGGGGTTTTGGGTTTAGGGGTTGAGGGCTTCAGGGGTTTTAGGGGTTTAGGAGTTTAGGGGTTTTAGGGGTTCAGGGGTTGAGGGGTTCAGGGGTGTAAGGGGTTTTGGGTTTAGGGGTTTAGGGGTGCTACTTGCTTCTCGGATGTGCCCAGAGGTCATACGATTTAGCTCCTCGCCGAGTTGCGAGACTGAGGGCAAGCATCTGAACACGACTGAGGCGCCGCCGTGGGGGGGGGGGGGGGGGGGGGGGGGGGGGGGGGGATGAAGGGCGGTTTCGGGTTTAGGGTTTTGGGTATCGGGTTTAAGGTTTCGGGTTTCGGGTTTTGGGGCTAAGGATTCAAGACGGAAACCTAAACGGTACATTCCTGAAGATATGTTGGTGTTGAAGGGCATTTGGGGTCTTTTGTAGAGTCCTAGAGTGCTTCTAAGTGGGATAGCTATAGTTATAATGAGCCATAGACCTTTTTGAGGCTACCTATCGCCTATCACACAACATGTGCACCCTCTGCGCTAAACCTTAAAGCCATCAGGAAAAAAAGGTCCGCATGCGCCGGGAGGGCCATGTCCCAAACCCCTCCACCCCTAGCTATTCCAGGGGTCTGGGGCTTAGGGTTCAGGGTGAAGGGCTAGGGTTTAGGGTTTAGCGTTTAGGTTTACGGTTTAGGGTTTAGGGTTTAGGGTTGAAGGTTTGGCAAGCAAGGGCCCCCCTCAGTCAGACGACGTCCAGGCGGACTTCTTGGATGGGCACATGCAGTTCTTCATGATGACTGACCCGCCGGGAGCGGTTGCCCGGGCCCCAGAATCGCCCCAACTTGCTTCAGGGTTTAGGGCTTAGGGTTTAGGGTTTAGCGTTTAGGGCTTAGGGCCCCAGATTCCCCCCCCCCCCCCCCCAACTTGTTTCTCGCAGTTTAGGGCGTCTTTTTAGGGTTTAGGGTTTTGTGGGTTGATAGGTTTACAGCATTTTTAGGGTCTGCAGGGTTTACAGGGTTTATAGGGTGTACAGGGTTTACAGGGTTTAGAGGGCTTGTAGGACTTTGGGTTAAAGCTGAAATCCTCAAACCTACAAGCCCTAAACCCTAAACCCTGAACCCTGAACCCTAAACCCTAACCCCGCATGTAGACTTAAGACGGATGGCTCCGCAGCCTTCTCATGGGCCGGGTTTACGCGTACGAACACTGCCTGCCTCAAAGACCCTACACACCCTGTAAACCCCATAAACCTTCCTTCCTTCCTTCCTATAAGCCCAAGAAAGCCCCACCCCCCAACCCCCAACCCCCCCCCCATCCCCGCCCCCCCCCCCCCCCCCCGCCCCCTGCCCCCCGTCCCTGCCCACCCCCCCCCCCCCCCCCGCCCCCCCCCCCCCCCTCCAAAAAACACACCCACCGCTTCCCTCCCATGTTCGTCTGCCCACCCCGCCCACCCTTCTGCCACCCCTGGGCCCCTCCGCCCGCGCCGCCCCCGCCCCCTCTCCCCCCGCGCCCCCCCCCCGCCCACGCGCTGCCCGCCCCCGCGCCTCCCCGCCACCCCCCCAGCGCCCGGCCCCACCCGGCCCCCCCCCCCCTCCCGCGCGCCCTGCCCCTGGCCCCCCCCCCCCCGCGCCCCCCCCCCCCTCCTGCCCCCCCCCCCCGCCCCCCCCCCGCCCCCCCCCCCCCCAAAAAAAAAACAAAGAAAGAAGAATAATCAAATAGAAAAAGCTGTAACCCCGAAGTACAGGGAATGGCCTCGAAAATGGCAGGGATTGGGGGGGGGGGAGGGCCTGGCCGCACAGGAGCGCAATCACGTAAGCAGATACCTATAATTTCCTTTCATGATCATCGTGAGGTTTGTTCATGACTCTGGGGTCTAGGGTTTATAGGGCTTAGGGATGTTTAGGGTTTAGCATTTAGCATTTAGGGTTTAGGGTTTCGGCAGCTACACAAAATGCCCACTCCGGTGGAACAGGTTTGTTGTTTTTTTTTTTTTTTTTTGGGGGGGGGGGGTTAGAGGGCTTCAAAAAGCCAACAGACAGCCTCCATACAGGCCCTTGCGCCAAGGGTTTTAAGGGGTTGTTGGTCTGGGGGTCTGTAGGGGTTGAGGGTCCAGGGCTTCGCTACACATCCCCAAAGGGTTTAGGGTTCAGAGCCAAACCCCCAACCCCAAGCCCCAAACCCTAAACCAAACGACCACTCTCCTAAACCCTCCCAACCTTCCGAAACCACCCTAAACCCTAAACCCTAAGCCCTAAGCCCTAAACCCTAAACCCTAAGCCCTAAGCCCTAAGCCCTAAGCCCATAAACCCCCAACCCCAAGTCGCATTCCCAAACTCCAAGCCCCAAACCCTAAACCCTAAACCCTAAATCCCAAACCCCAAGCCCTAAAACCCTAACTCCCCCTTCATCTCCCAGGTTTCGAGGGTTTAGGGTTTAGGGTTTAGGGTTTAGGGTTTAGGGTTTAGAGTTTAGGGGTTCGATTGCGGCAGGTCCTCCAGCGAGAGCTCATGGGCAACGACACCGACGCCTCCTTAGAAGGAGACTGGACCTTTGAGAAGGCGACCTGGGATGCATGGGGTTTAGGGTTTAGGGTTTAGGGTTTTGGGCTTAGGGTCATGTGGTCCCTTACCTTCTTCAACAGGTTCTGAAGTACGGGCCCTTGGTTTTTGTTGGAGGCTTGACTTCCTGCTCAGACATAAATACAGCTTAGTTGTAGAGTAGGTAGCCTTTAACCTTCTTGGGGTAATAGAATCCCCTCATATTCCCAAAGGTTGACCTTTAGTCCCCCTAGGTACTGGACAAGACCTGAAGACCTCTCAGGTTGTGATCTTAAAGGCAACCTACAAAACAGGGCTGTCGTTCTTACAGAAGAGCTTCAAACCCCAAACCCTAAACCCCAAACCCTAACCCCTAACCCCTAAACCCTAAACCCTAAACCTGCAGGGCGACTTCACTGTGAAAAAGGACGGAGAGAAGTTGATGCTGGAGCAGAAGTTCTGGACAGGGCCAATCTTTCGGTTCAGGGTTCAGGGTTCAGGGTTCAGGGTTCAGGGTTCAGGGTTCAGGGTTCAGGGTTCAGGGTTCAGGGTTCAGGGTTCAGGGTTTAGGGTTTAGGGTTTAGGGTTGCGGGTCTAGGGTCTAGGGTGAAGTCAGCCCTCAGCTGCTTGTTAGGGGTTTAGGGTGGATTGTTGGGGGGGATGATGGGGCTTTAGTTACGGCTTTAAGCTTTGGGGTTTAGTTTAGTGTCGGGGGTTTGGGTTGGAGGTGTTGCGGACGCTTAGGCATCCCCCCCCCAAGATACAGTGTAATCTCGGGCTCAGGGCAGGAACCCTAAACCCCAATCCCCAACCCTAAACCCTGAACTCTAGACCTTAAACCCTCAACCCCTAAGCCCTAAGCACAGATCCTGTGCTGATGCAGGAACTCCAACTTCGTTTACTCTGGAGAAGTTGCAGCTGCAGGCTTTCCACGCCAAGAAGGGCAACATAAGGTTCAGGGTTTAGGGTTTAGGGTTTAGGGCTTAGGGTTTAGGGTTTCGGGTTTAGGGTTTTGAGTTTTGGGTTTTGGGTTTCGGGTTTCGGGTTTTTGGGTTTCAGGTTTTTGGGTTCAGGGTAAACTCCAGAAAGTTGGAACATGGTTTAAGCATGATCAGTGATAGGATTCTAGCTAGTATACCTTTTGGGGTATGGGGAGAAGGATGTTCCAGCTTTTTGGTGTTTACTGTAGGGTGTAGCATTTTGCAAGTTTTTAAGGCTTAGGAGCATTTCGAAACAGGTTACAAGAATCACAGAATCACGTTATCACTAGCCGACAGATGATGTCATTTTTTGAAGAACATAAAGTTTGACTTTTTCCTTCCTTGGATTTTGGAGAAGCAAGCCACTCTCTCTCTCTCTCTCTCTCTCTCTTTCTCTGTTTTCATCCTGAATTAGGGTTTCGGGGTTTTGGGGGTTTAGGGGGGTTTTGGTGGCTTTGCAACGCCCAAGCCAATCAAACAAAACAGGGCACCCTAGTACCTTAAACCCTAACCCTTTCTGTCCCTACGCTACTGGGCACCCTTAGTAGATGTTTCTTCCGTAATCAAGCCGGGGTACTGTACGTACCCCCAAACGGTTACTATATAGCGAGGGTTTACTACTATTTGCTGAAAATCCCCCCAAAAAAGCAATATGTATATATATATATATACAGAGTCCCTATATTACTCTTATCAGGAAGAGTTTTTTTTTTTTTTTTTGGGGGGGGGGTTTTTAAGCAATTGGTAGTCTAGTGTGTCGGGAGAAAATTAGGGGTGCACCTCTTCCCGGAAATGCCCAGTTGGCACCTCCTAAGCTCTAGAAGCCCTAAATCCGAAAACGTTGAGTCTCAAAACCTCAAAGCTCTAGGGTTTAGGGTTTAGGTTTTAGGGCTTAGGGTTTAAACCCCTTATAGCCCTAAACCCTGAAAGTTTCAAGCCCTGAGACGCTAAGGCCCGACGCCCTCGAAAGCCCTACACCATGAATCCATACTGGGAGGTCCATCTACTATTTGCGTAAGAACCACCCCAAAAACCAAAAAAATGTAATCCCTTTATTGCCCTGACAAGGAAGAATAGTTTTTTTTTGGGGGGATCTTAAGCAAATAGTAGTCGTGGGTGCTTTCAAGGTCGGGGTTAGAAGTGGGTTATCTGCAGATATAGGCGGTCAAACCACAGTTCGGGCTTGGATGTTCCTCCTGGCAGCCCTGAATGGGGATTATATAGTACCCCTCTGTCATAAGTCCTCCTAAGGAGTGTTCGTATAAGGGGGAACATCCCAAGTTAGGGCGCCTTTCTTCCTACCAGCTTCATTGAAACCTCAGTGGCCCGAAACCTGAAACCCTCAACCCTCCCCCCCCCCCCCCCCCCCCCTGTCCCCACCCCAGCCCAGGAAAAAAGACACAGAGACAGACAGACAGACAGACAGACAGACAGACAGACAGACAGACAGACAGACAGACAGACAGACAGACAGACAGACACACACACACACACACACACACACACACACACACACACGCACACACACACGAAGCCGCCATAATCTCATCCTGTTCAGGTATGGGGCTTAGGGCTTGCCTTCACAACCCAAAACCGACATCTCGTAGTGATTTTGATCATTCCCCCGTATGGGATGCTTATAGATAACTAGGTTTCGGGTTCTCAAGGTGGGGCTTCTTAGGGGGCTTGAGGGCCTTCAAGGGAATGAAAGAACACAGCATGCCCAGATGCCAAAGACTACCATCACATCGACCTGGGCTTGGAAGACAAAGCCTCTTGGTAGAGATTCATGGGTTTAGGGTTTAGGGTTAGGGTTTAGGGTTTAGGGTTTAGGGTTTAGGGTTTAGGGTTTAGGGTTTAGGGTTTAGGGTTTAGGGTTTAGGGTTTAGGGTTTAGGGTAGAATGGGGGCGGGGGGTCTTCTCTTTACTTGGAGATTCATGGGTTTAGGGTTTGGGGGAGGGTGCTTCTAAGTAGCGTTACAGGGAAGCTATATGGTATAACCTTAGTTTGGGTACGTATAAACCCTGCTTCGAAGTAGTCATGAACCTTCAGTTCGGGTTCAAGGGTAGTTAGGGAACTTATAGTGCGGTCTCTGCACGGCTTAGGGGTCTCAATCCCTAGATCGCTTTCAGGGACTTTACTATATCTCAAGTACATTATACCCTAACTCACGATTCAGAGCCAGTAGTTACATCCTTCATCAAGCCAAGCAGAGGCCCCATCAGCGGATCATCAGCGGCTCACGGGAAACAGCTTGCGATTTACGGTCCCTAAACCCTAAACCCTAAACCCTACACCCTAAACCCTAAACCCTAAGCCCTAAACCCTAAACCGGGGCCTGGGCGTGCTTTGACACTTAAGCCTCCTGTGAACGTCCGCTGTATGAGCCGGGAGTGGAGAGACTTCGGGCAAAGCGCGCTTGGGGCCCATCTCAACCCTAACCCTCAGGGTGCATGTACCTAAAGAGGGATTACTTGGGGCTTAAAGTACCTTAAACCTCAAACCCTAAACCCAAAACACTAAACCCTCATCAGGGCCCTAGTATGAAATAGGGGGGGTACATGGAACCTTAGGGTAAGGACCTTTCGACTTGGTAGTCCACTGGCACCCTTTTACCTTTTTGCGGGGTTCAAGGTTTCCTTATAGAATAGCCAACCCAAAAAGGTGTGCACTTATTAAAGTATGGCTACTGGGCACCAACAAAAGCTGGAGCTTATCACTTGCCATCCCACGTTGTGCAAGCAGCTGAGTATTGGCAACCAGCCACCCTAAGAACTTCCTTCAGAATTTCCCCCTAAACATCCTGTCAGAACCCTACAGAACCCCAAGAACCCGAAGAAGCCCCCAGAAGAGCCCAAAAAGGGTTTAGGGTTTAGGGTTTAGGGTTTAGGGTTTAGGGTTTAGGGTTTAAGGTTTAGGGTTTAGGGTTTAGGGTTTAGGGTTTAGGGTTTAGGGTTTAGGGTTTAGAGCATCCTCAGGAGTGCCTCAAGTACAAGGACTCCGACTGCCCAGAGCTTTCGAATGGCCCCCATCGCTTCTGCAACGTCGAGAACGGCCAGTGCAAGGCAACAGCCCCAGGGCTTTGCGGGAACAGCCCTAAACCCTAAACCCTAAACCCCAAACCCTAGGGGGGCTTTAGGGAACGGGGAAGCCCTAGTTGGGCCTTTTTCGGGCGTTTAGGGTCTTTAAGGCATACATGGGGGCAGGTCATTATATTACCCTAGCCTCTCAGGCCCTTAATTACGCCCTAGATAAACCTCTAAGCCCAAAACCCTAAGTCCCAAGACTCGGCCCGGCCCTCTTAGGGTTTAGGGTTTGGGGTTTAGGGTTTAGGCTTCGGGGTTTAGGGTTTAGGGTTTAGGGCGTATAGGGTGTAGGGTTTAGGGTTTTGGGGCTCAGGGTTCGGGGCTTCCTGCGCACCCTGCGCAGGCCGTCAAAGGCGGCCACGGCCACCTTCGCCTCAAAGCCAAGCCTCCCAACGAGCTCCTGAGGCGGCCCCCCCCCCCCCCCCCCCCCTCCCTACGGTAGGGTTAGGGTTAGGGTTTAGGGTTTCTAGGGGGTAGGGTTTAGGGTTTAGGGTTTAGGGTTTAGGGTTTAGGGTTTAGGGTTTAGGGTTTAGGGTTTAGGGTTTAGGGTTTAGGGTTTAGGGTTTAGGGTTTAGGGGTTAGGGGTTAGGGGTTAGGGGTTAGGGTTTAGGGTTTAGGGTTTAGGGTTTAGCGTCTAGGGTCTAGGGTTTAGGGCGCAGGGTTTAGGGGGGTGTAGGGTTTAGGGTTTGGGGACTTGGGGGAAGTGAGAAGGTTTGGGGTGTTAGGGCTTAGAGATGTTTGGGTTCATAGGGTTCGTGGTTTAGGTTTTTGTTCTCGGGTTGAGTGCTGAAAGCCATGCCTGGTGCGCGGAATTCCGAAACCCCAAGCTCTAAACCCTAAACCCTAAACCCTACACTCCAACCCCTAAACCTTAAAGCCTGAACCCTAAACCCTAAACCCTACGCCCTAAACCCTAAACCCTAAACCCTAAACCCTAAACCCTAAACCCCCCTAAACCCCACTAAATCCTTTTTGTTTGCTTTATGGGGGAAGCCATGGCCTTCCGGGGACGAGAGCCTCTGGCTAGCCCTCAACCCTAAACCCGAAACCCCAAACCCTAAACCCTAACCCCCAAACCCTAAACCCTAAACCCCAAGCCCTAAACCCTAGACTGAAAGGGACGAGAGCCTTGACAACAAGACCTGGACGGAGTTCGCCGCTTGGACCAGATTCTGAAGCTGGGACGGTTGTGGGGGGGGGGTTAGGGTTTCGGGTCTAGGGTCTAGGGTCTAGGGTCTAGGGTTTAGGGTTTAGGGTTTAGGGTTTAGGTTTTAGGGTTTAGGGTTTAGGGTTTAGGGTTTAGGGTTTAGGCTTAGGGTTTAGGGTTTAGGGTTCATAAAGGGCTTGGGGTATGGCCCTGAAGATGAGCACCTCCAAAATGTGGTAGTTCCAGTACCGAGACAGCGAGTGTTTGTTGCAAGCCCCGATGGCGTACCGACGAAGCACTCGTAGCTGGCAGTTTGCCTTGCCTCAAGGCTTATATAGGCTTATACAGGCTTATATAGGCGTATATAGGCTGATATAGGCTTGACCTTCTAAGGGAGAATACTTTTCAGTGGGGGGGGGGGGGGTTCTGAAGCAACAAGTAGGTTGGGGTACAGGGTTTAGGGTTTCGGGTTTAGGGTTTGGGTTTAGGGTTTCAGGGGTTCAGGGGTTTAGGGTTTAGGGTTTAGGGTTTAGGTTTAGGGCTAGCCAGAGGCTGCGCACCGCAGCTTCACGCCAGCGGACGCTGAGCTCTCCGGGTTCGTGTGCGTCTTCACCAACGAGTCCTGGATTCCCATTCGACTCTCGGGCTGCAGCATCTTTAGGAATCTTGGGGCTTAGGGTTTAGGATTTAGGGTTTGGGGTTTGGGGTTTCGAATCTTGTGCAGCATCATCCCTAGCTTGGGTTTTGGGCTTAATTAGGGTGTAGGGTTTGGGGTTTGGGGTTTGGAGTTTGGGGTTTGGGTTTAGGCTATTCGGGTTTAGGGTTTGGGGGTTTGGGGCTTAGGGTTCAGCCCAAACCATGCCGTCCCAAAACCTAAAGCCAAGGAGGATTAGTAAAACCTGTAAGAAAGCCCGAAGCCTAAGACCCTAAACTCTAAACCCTAAACCCTAAACATAGGAGTGCTTGAGGCAGCCCTAAAAAACCCCGATTAGGAGTACAGTGACAGCGCTGGATAAGAAACCTCTAAGTTTTGGCGAGGGTACCCTCGATTTCTTAATTATGAATCCCACCCAATTTCCGGAATTATAGCCTCCACACTTTTGAGGGTACCCTCGATTTCTTGATGAATTTCTTAATTGGTTTCGAACTGGCAACGTTTCAAGTAGTAAGGCGACGCCTTATCCTTTCGGGGCTCCCCTCAAATCGGCAATCCGGCAGCTCGATTTCTGAATTCGAGCCCTGCCCCCTCCCTCAAATTAGGAAATCCAGCCCTCAATTTCTTGGGGTCCCGCCCCACCCCCCCCCCCCCTCCCTGCGCTCCCCCCTCTGAAATAAGTAATTCATCCCTCCCCCCCCCCGCCTCCCCCTAAATAAGAAATCCTGCCCCTCAATTTCTTAAATTTAAGAAATCTAGCCCCTCAATTTCTTAAATTTAATAAATCCAGCCCCTCGATTTCTCTTAAATTTAAGAAATCCAGCCCCTCGATTTCTTAAACTTACGAAATCCAGCCCCTCGATTTCTTAAATTTACGAAATGCAGCCCCTGATTTCTTAATTTGGGGCCCAGCCCAGTTTCTAAATTTGAGGGGTGTTGGGGTCCCGCCGCACCCCCCCCCCCTCCCCTTGAAAAAAAATTCCCCCCCCCCCCCCTAAATGAGAAATCCAGCCCCTCAGTTTCTTAAATTTAAGGAATCCAGCGCCTCGATTTCTTAAATTTGGGTAAGGGCCCGCCAAATTTAAGAAATCGAGGGGCTGGATTTCTTAAATTTAAGAAATCCGGGGGCTGGATTTCCTAGATTTAAGAAATCGAGGGGCTGGATTTCTTAAATTTAAAAAATCGAGGGGCTGGAGTTCTTAAATTTAAGAAATCGAGGGCTGGATTTCTTAAATTAAAAAAGTCGAGGGGCTGGAGTTCTTAAATTTAAGAAATCGAGGGCTGGATTTCTTAAATTTAAGAAATCGAGGGGCTGAGTTTCTGATTTGAGTGGGAAAAGTTGGTTTTGCTATGGAAAACCATCTTTTTGCGAGGCAAAACCAAAAAAACAATCTTTTTCAAAATCCCCTCCCCATTCTCTAAAAAAGATTGTTTTTTTTGGTTTTTTGGTTTTGCCTCGTAAAAGATGGTTTTGGAGCCAAAAACCAACTTTCACCTCGCAAAAAGATGGTTTTCCTGAGGCAGTCCACACCAAAACCATCTTTTTACGTGGGAAAAGTTGGTTTTTCTATGAAAAACCATCTTTTTACGAGGCAAAACCAAAAAAAAACATCTTTTCAAGATCCCCTCCCCATTCTCTAAAAAAGATGTTTTTTTTGGTTTTTTTGGTTTTTTGGTTTTGCCTCGTAAAAGATGGTTTTGGAGCCAAAAACCAACTTTTACCTCGCAAGAATATGGTTTTGGCGTGGTGTTCTGAAGGAAAACCATTCTTTTGCGAGGGAAAAGTTGGTTTTCCTATGAAAAACCATCTTTTTACGAGGCAAAACCAAAAAAAACATCTTTTTCAAAACCCCCTCCCCATTCTCTTAAAAAGATGTTTTTTTTGGTTTTTTTGTTTTGCCTCGTACCTCTCTCGGGCCAGAACCGTTCAGCTCTACATGTAGCTATGCTTGGAGGCTCGTTGGTTTTGGTCAGTCTTATATTCATCTCAGCAATAGCATTCCTATTCCGATCAATGTAAAAGGGTTCCTAACCAGGTTTTGGTCAGTCTTATATTAATCTCAGCAATAGCATTCCTATTCCTATTAATGTAAAAGGGTTCCTAACCATCTTTATAGGACTTCTTTTCATTTTACTTATATTCTTATGAACTTTCAGAGGGTTCTTATTCAACATCAGAGGATTCCTAATACTTTTCAATAGGGTTCTTATGCATTTCAACAAGGTTCTTAGTCATTTTCAAGTGGCTCTTTTAGTTCCAACAGGGTTCCTCTGAAATTAAAAATCTTTTTAAGATTCATACTGGTGCCTATTCATTTTAGTGAGTCTCCAAGTAATTTTAATGGTATTCTTAGAAAATTGAATAGCATTCCTCGCCCTATTAATTCTAATGGGAATCACATTAAGTCTAACAGGAAGCCAAGAAACTTTGAAAAGGAACCACATTGAATTTTGTAGGATTCCTATTGGTTCCTATTATTTTTAGTAGGATTCCTCTTCATTTTAAAAGGATTCCCATCAATTGGTAATAGGGTTCTTAAAAATTTTACTGGGGTTCCTAATAAACTCCGATTAACGTCAAAGGGTTCCTGACCATCTTAATGGGACTCCTCTACCATTTCAGAATATTCTTATGAGTTTTCATAGGCCTTCTTATTCAGTGTAGAAGGATTCCTAATACGTTTTTTGTAAACAGGGTTCTTATGAATTTCAACAAGGTTCTCAATCATTTTAAAGTGGCTTCTTTTAGTTTCACTAGGGGTCCATCTGAAAATGAAAAGGGCTCATACTTCTTTTTAGGATTCCTATTGGTTCCTATTCATGTTTGTGATTGCAAAGTGATTGGAATGGTTTTTTTCTGGAGGTTTGAATAGCATTCCTGTCTCATTAATTCTAATAGGAATCACATGAATTCTAACAGGAAGCCTAGAAATCCGAACCAATTTATTTTTATAGGATTCCTATTGGTTCCTATTAAATTAGTAGGATTTCTCTTCATTTTCAAAGGATTCCAATAGGGTTCTTATGATTTTTAGTGGTGTTGCTTGATGGTAGGACCCTCTTCATTGAAAAGATTCCTCTTAATTTGTAAAAGGGTTCTTATGAATTTTAGTGGGGTTCCTCATAAATTGAATAGGATTCTAATTCATCATAACAATATTAAGAGAAATATTAATAGGATTCCTATTTAGATTTAATGGAATTCCCACATTCCCGTGAATTCAAAAAGGGTCCCTTTTCATTTTCACAGGCTCCCTACTATTCTTCATGGGGGGGCCCTATTGTTTTTCTACATTTTAATAGCATTCCCATGACGTTTGATAGGGAGTTCCTCTGACTCAAATATGATTCCAAGTCATTATTCCTATTGATTCAATAAAGAGTCTTATTAATCTTAATAGGGTTCGTATGAATTTCATAAGGTTTTTGTTCAATTAAGAGGGTTCTTATTAAATTCATAGCTATGACTAAGTATGGATTTCTTACTCCGACACGGCCTCACGGTGGGTCATGGGGGGGGTGTGAGCATATATATATATATATATATATATATTCCCTTAAAGGGTATATATATATATAATCCCTTGAAGGGTATATATAGGGCCCGAATTCCCTCATTCCCTACTGAGAATCAGGGGGCAGGAGGCGTTGAGGGTTTAGGGCTTCGGGGCCTAAAGCCAAGACGCCACCACGGCCTTCTCCGCCCCAATGAGAGGGAGCCCGAGCCGGAGCCGGCCCAGCTCCGAAGAAGGTCCTAGACTACGTGTAGGGTTTAGGGTTTAGGGTTTAGGGTTTAGGGTTTAGGGTTTAGGGTTTAGGTTTTAGGGTTTAGGGTTTAGGGTTTAGGGTTTAGGGTTTAGGGTTTAGGGTCAAGCCCCACAAGCCCTAAGTCCTTGAGTTCCCTGAGCCCCGAACCCCCGAAACCCAAATTCTTGAAGTCCCTGCACTCCTCCGACCCTCAACCCTATAGACTCTACAGCCCTAGACTCCTCAACCCCCAAGAAATCCGAGGAGGCATCACCTTCAAGCAGATCTCCGGCATGAGCCCTTTGAAGAGTCTCAGCCGCACACCGCCCACGGGCTGTGAGACACGGATGGCACCCTTTTAACATCTTTTGGGTTCAGGGTTCAGGGTTCAGGGTTCAGGGTTCAGGGTTCAGGGTTCAGGGTTCAGGGTTCAGGGTTTGCGTTTCGTGTTTTAGGCAGTTTATGGTTTAGGGTCTACTCATTTAATCCCTAAACCGAAACCCTTAGCCCCAAAGCCATGAAGGCATAGCCAGCTACACATGGCCCAAATCCGCCAAAACCCCGCACCCCCAAGCCCTAGGGTCTAGGGCCGTCTAGGGTTTATAGAAAAAGGGTTTGTGTCCGGAGTTTTGTCGGGTTTTGGGGGGTTTTGGGGGGTTTTGTTTTTTTGGGCTGGGGGGGCTGCACCTGGGGCGGGGTTGGGGTGTTTGGCGGGGTGGGGAGTTTTGGGGGGCCTCAGAATCTTTCGGGGCTTTCTTTGTTTTGGTGCCCTGAAAGCTAGGATGAAGGGTTATTGCACGAGCTGCTCGTAATGAAACACGTACAATTTCTATTTATCCCGGCCTTGAGGGTTTAGGGTTTAGGGTTTAGGGTTAGGGTTTATAGGGTTTAGGGTTTAGGGTTTAGGGTTTAGGGTTTAGGGTTTGGGGTTTGGGATTTAGGGTTTAGGGTTTAGGGTTTAGGGTTTAGGGCCTTCGGCACGTGGCAGCCTACGCAGTACTCGCGTAGGGTTGAGGGCGGAGCGCGCAGGCTCTCCACATTTTGGGGGTGGGGGGTTGCTCTCAAGTAGGGTTTCTAAGGGGTTTAGAGGCTTTGGTTTAGGGATGGATGCAGGGGGTTTAGGTGTTTGGTGGTCAGGGTTTAGGGTTCAGTGCAATTCTAGTCGGATCCGTTCTTTGATTTTGTCAGGAAAGGTACAGCACTAAGATTCTAGAACAGCACCGCCCTGTTTGAGGTCGTTTAGGTGGACCAGAATTCGAATCTGTGTTGCCCTGAACCCTAACCCTAAACTCCTATTTGTTGTTAATTCAAGGACTTGGATTACAAAGAATTTCAGGCACGCCTCGCGGCGGGTTAGCAGAAAGGAAAAGAAGTCTTCGTGAAGTAAGCCCTAAACCCTAAACCCTAAACCCTAAACCCTAAACCCTAAACCCTAAACCCTAAACCCTAAACCCTAAACCCTAAACCCTAAACCCTAAACCCTAAACCCTAAACCCTACTTACGAGTATCCTAGCACAGAACTTGCGTGGCGACATTGGGGCACATATAAGGCCATAAGTGCTGACAGCTTGGGTCCGACCCGTGCACCCCCCAAGTGTTCGCGGTTAGGGTTTAGGGTTTAGGGTTTAGGGTTTAGGGTTTAGGGTTTAGGGTTTAGGGTTTAGGCTTTAGGGTTTAGGGTTTAGGGTTTAGGGTTTAAGGCCCTTCTTTCTGCACCACGCGCTCCCCAGGAACCTTGCCAAGAGCGCCTCTTCATCGGACTCATTCAAGGAGGCCCCCCGATTAGGGTTCATGGTTTGGGGTGTCAAGGTGTCAGCGCTCGGAGGGGTCCATTCCAGATCACTAGGAGGTTGGCGAATATTAGCAAGTACTGTTACAGTTTAGGGTTTCGGGTTTAGGGTTTAGGGTTTAGGGTTTAGGGTTTAGGGTTTAGGATTTAGGGTTTAGGGTTTAGGGTTTAGCAAGTACTGTTACAAGTCGGGTATCCAAAATGCGACAATCCCTATGTGACCGAAGACTCGCAAACCCTGTTTCTGAGTGTCCCCTCGAACGATACGTACAATTAGGTTATAAGGTTGTAAGGTGCGGATCATGGAGCATCTCGCCTGAAAATCCTACGTCCTTTGAGTGAAGTCGGCGCATGCTGAGGATGTTCAGGGCATTCAGGCTATTTCCCCACGACCCCAACCCTCAGCCCTCGCCACTAGTCCTTAGCCACCTTTTGGGATGTTTCGGTGCGAAAGCAAGAACCCTACAAAGCCCTAAACACTAAACCCGAAAACCCGAAAACCCTAAACCCTAAACCTTAAACCCTATCAGACCCTAAACCCTAGACCCTAAACCCTAAACCCTAAACCCTATCAGACCCTAAACCCTAAACCTTAAACCCTCTCAAAGCCCTGCCAACTCTGCCAGCTCTACGCCGACCTCTACGCCGGTTTGGATGTTTCGGGAGTCATAAACCCTACAAAGCCCTAGACCCAAACCCTAAATCCTGCCGCCAGCTCCTCTACGCCAACCTGAGTCATGGCCGAGAGTGGCTGCAGGACGGTGCGCTTTTCAAGTGCCGCATCCAAGCCCTCGGGTTTTGGGGTTTCGGGGTTTTTTTAGGGGTTATTTTAGGGTTTAGGGGTTATTTTAGGGGTTTAGGGGTTATTTTAGGGGTTTAGGGGTTATTTTAGGGGTTATTTTCGGGGGTTATTTTAGGGGTTATTTTAGGGGTTATTGTCGTTTTTGAGTTTAGGAAACAGGGTTTAGGGTTTAGGATGAAGGGTTTAGGGTGTAGGGTTGAGGGCTTTGGGTTGCAGATCTTAGGGGGGACTCGAGGCTCTCAGGGCTTCTGGGAACAGGTGGGTCGCAGGGCACGAGGCACACGCACACTTTTTTTTCTTCTCTCTCTCTCTCTCTCTCTCCCTCTCTCCCTCTCTCTCTCTCTCTCTGTCTCTCTCCCTGTCTCTCTCTCGTCTCTCGCTCTCGCGAGCTCACACTCTCTCTCTCTCTCTCTCTCTCTCTCTTTCCCCTGCCGCCGTCCCTCTCTCTCAGGGTTTAGGGATTGCGGTTCTATGTCGTCGTGTTCTATTGGATCGTGCTTCCCCCAAGCATGCAGTAGGTCGGGCATGCGGCTCACGTGGGCAATCCTTTGCCCCCAAAAGCCTCAAATCACAAAGCCCCAACCGTCCCCAACCCCCTCACCCGAAAATCACACACACCCAGCAGAGTTTGCTATCACAGTGCTCGTGTGGCTTACTAAGGGAAGGCCTAAACCCTAAACCCGAAACCCTAAACCCCAAACCCAAAGCCGTGTGGGCCACAAGGGCTGCCCGTGCCTCTGAGTGGTTGGTCGATCTGCTTATGCCAAACCCTAAACCCTCAATTCAAAGACAACATGAACAGCAGTTGTATGTGATGTCATTGTGAATTTCCCAGGTTATTAGTCTAAACAGCTAACAAGCCGAATCCATATACATCAATCCAAGGAGCCTCTGGGAGGCCAGATATTCAATTCACTTAGCCCGCTCGCCCCCCCCCCTCCCCCCCGCACCAAACTGAAAACAAATTCGATTTTCTATACACTATACACCCTCCTCTTCAAGCTCCTCCCCCCCCAAAAAAAAGATTGTGAACCTTGGTTCAGAACAGAAGCCCTCGATCAAAACGTTTTGGTCAACACTTTTCGGTCAAAACATGTCGGGCAAAACTTTCCTCCAAAACTTTCGTTCAAAACTGCGTTCAAAGCCATATTTTAGGGTTCAGGGTGGCCCTAGGCTGTAGGCTGTGATCCGCCAGGAGAAGCACCTTGCCTTCCAACTAGAGGGGAACGGGGACCAGTTCCTTCCGCCCTGGCGCAAGGCTCTGCAGGCCTGTGTCGGGATTTGGGAGTGCGGGGTGGGGGTGGTGGGGGGAGGGGGCTAAACCCTAATCCCTAAACCCTAAACCCTAAACCCTAAACCCTAAACCCTAAACCCTAAACGACTATGGGATTGAGGGTTCGATCGAAGGCGTCACTACTTGCATCGGGTTCAGGATGCTCAGGGCCCCAGGCTGCGAATGACAGATCAGCAGCGAACACCTACGGGCTCGGACCCGGGAGTAGGCCCTTGTTTCTTTTTTTAGGGTTTAGGGTTTAGGGTTTCTAGGACCCGGAGTAGGCCCTTATTTCCTTGTTTTAGGGTTGGGGTTTCCTTGTAATCCCCTTAAACCCGAAAAGGGTACCCTTGTTCTTGCTGGGCTACTCCTGGGTCTAGAGGGGTCTTGCAGATTCGTGGACGTTAGCTAGGGTTGAGAAGTTAGGGTCTAGGATTTAGGTTTTAGGGTTTAGGGTTTAGGGTTTTAGGGTAAGCAGCGTTTTGCCTCGCTTGCAACTGTACGAGCTGCTGAGAGGGGTTCTCGCATAACGGGATATGAAGTTGCAGTCGCCCAATCTCTCGAGGTCGGAGTAGTTACCAATAGTATTCCCTTATGGTCCGTTTGAACCTTTGTAATTATATTACAATAAACCCCAAACACCCTATTACAATTCTTCAGGCCCCTAAAAACTACTAATAGTATTCCCTTATGGTCCCTTTGTAATTATACTCGAAATAAACCCCAAAAACCCCTATTCCCATTATTCAGGCCTCTATACTCAGACCTTAAAACTCCTGATCCCCAAACCATCTGACGCCGTGACGCCCTGCAGGGCACCGTCGAGTGGAAGAAGGCCACCGCCATCTGACATTGTTTCTGGGTTCAGCTGATACTAAACTTAACCCTAAACTCTAGGGTTTAGGGTTTAGGGTTTAGGGTTTAGGGTTTAGGGTTTAGGGTTTAGGGTTTAACCTCAACCCTAGGTCCATTGTGGTCCGTAGGTTTGTGCATCATGTTGCACTGTTTGAGGGCTCCAGAGCACCTCCTCCAGAATCATGGGGCTAGCCAAGGTGTCTTGGAACTGGGACGTCTTGAGGGTTTAGGGTTCAGGGTTTAGGGTGTAGGGTTTCGGGCTTACGGTTTAGGGATTAGGGTCTTTAGAGGGATTAAGAAGGTTTGAAAGGACGGTGCCGGCAGGTCTGGGTAACGAGCTCCTTTTATTCTAAGTCCCGAGGCACCCAAAGCACTCTACGCACCACAAGCACCTTATGCGCCCTAAACTCTAAGCACCCTAAACCCTAAACTCCAAGCACCCCTAAGCCCCCAAACCCTAAACTCCAAGCACCCTAAGCCCGAAACCCTAAACCCTAAACCCCTAAACTTATAAACCCTAAACCCTAAACCCTAAACCCTAAACCCTAAACCCTAAACCCTAAACCCTAAACCCTAAACCCTAAACCCTAAACCCTAAACCCTAAACCCTAAACCCTAAACCCTAAACCCTAAACCCTAAACCCTAAACCCTAAACCCCCAACCAAGTGACCTAGAGGCCTGCGGCGGCCCCGAAGTCGCCCCTCCTGCCAGGCTGGGGTGTGTCCGGGCAACTACCCCCTCTGCATGAAGGACGGCAGCTGCGTGCGCTCCCCAAGTTCAGCTGTTGGGGTGTTTGGGGTTTAGGGTTTAGGGTTTAGGGTTTAGGGCTAGGGTTTAGGGCTCGGGTTTCTGGGGCTTCAGGGCTTTTTGAGGGTTTAGGGGTTAGAGCCTCAACCATTTTAGTTTGTTTTATTGGGGGAGGGAGCCTCAGGGTTAGGGGTGTCAATCCACCTTCCCGGTGCCGATCTAGGGTTCGGGTTTAGGGTTTAGGGTTAGGGTTCAGGGTTCAGGGTGTTTAGACCGTCTTGGTTCCTTGGAAGGGACACCGTGCGTGGGGTTTAGGCTGAGTTTTGGAGTGCTATGCTTTAATACTTGTTCTTTGGTTCTGGGCTCTGTTATAGCTAATTCTCCCGAACTAAAATGTATATACTGTTTTCCATGGTCTACTCCAAAGTAGAGTAGGGATTCACGATAAGAGCTCTTTTCCGAAAGGCAACCATCAACACACCTGCTTTTGTGGGAAAGCCCCGGAAGCCGAATGAGTCTCAAGATAGGCTGAGGGCTTTCTGGTCAGAAGATCCGCCACGGCATCGATAGACCCTACCCTAAACCCTAAACCCTAAACCCTAAACCCTAAACCCTAAACCCTAAACCCTAAACCCTAAACCCTAAACCCTAAACCCCCTAGACCCTGCTTTGGGCTCAGAACCGAAAAGCCGCTTCTGCAGCCATATTGAAGTGGGCCACACCCCTAGATCGCGAAGAGTCATCTGCGCCCGAAAAGCCTCCAAAACTGGGAGCAGCTCGAGACATGGAAGAGCCTCTGGTTTAGGGCTTAGGGTTTTTTAGGGTTCAGGATAACGACGGCCAATTAAGGATCGTTTGGGGTGGTAGGTTCAGGGAGCCTTGGTGAGTCGACCTGTCTTAGGTTCTTTGTAGACTCCCGCTGGCAGGACCTTTGCTTATACCCCAAGAGCCATACGCCCCTAGCCCTAACACGCAGTCTTTAAGGCCCCTAAAGCCCTAAATCCTAGACCCAAAGCCCTGATTGGGGTCCATATTGCAAGGGGATCCTTCTGTTTGGGGGGCGTCTATTTTTAGAGGTCCCCTGTTTTCGTAAACCCCCAAATCCCAGTCTAGGGCTTTAGGGTTTAGGGCTTAGGGCTTAGGGCTTAGGGCTTAGGGCAGTTTACCCCAGTGAGGCCCTCCAGGAGTGCCAAAGTGGCTGCGAGACACAGCTGCATTGGGTTTAGGGTTTAGGGTTTGGGGTTTATGGTTTAGGGTTTAGGGTTTCGGTTTTGGGGTTTAGGGTTTGGGGTTTAGGGTTTTGGGTTTGGGGTTTAGGGTTTGGGGTTTGGGGTTTAGGGTTTGGGGTTTGGGGTTTGGTGTTTTGGGGTTTGGAGCGAAGGGGGGGGGGGGGGGGGGGGTTGGGGTTTAGGGTTTAGGGTTAGGTTGGGGTTTCGGGTTTAGGGTTTCGGGTTCAGGGTTTAGGGTTTAAGGTTTTGGGTTCAGGCTTGGGGTTTCGGGGTTAAACCCTGAACCCTACACCCTAAACCCTAAACCCTGAACGGCCCTAAAATCTGTAAATCCGCGGCTTGGCATTTTTCTTCGAGGTGTCTTGCTTGAAAGTTCATGGGTACTCGTAAGTAGGGTTGTAAGTACCCCAAATAAGGGGGGGGGGGTGGGTACTTCGGCATCTTAGGGTTTATGGGTCTAAACCCTGAACTTGAATCAATGATCGTGGATGCAGCCAAGGAGTGGTCCAGAGCGCCGCATCCATGGGATGATCCATCTGGAGGGTGCCTAGATCTGGGGGGCGGGGAGGGGGGGTTAGGGTTTAGCGTTTAGGGTTTAGGGTTTGGGGTTTAGGATTTAGGGTTTAGGGTTTAGGGTTTAGGGTTTCGGGTTCCCTTATGAAGGAACCAACCCCAGAAAGGGCCCACCCCTTGTTTCAATACAAACCCCTAAGCCCCTAAACCCTAAACCCTAAACCCTAAACCCTAAACCCTACACCCTAAACCCTAAACCCTAAACCCTACACCCATTTCCGGGCCCTTGTAGCGACCCGAAGAGAGCAGGTACAACTACATTTCCGGCTACGACTCCCTCGGCACTGAGTGCGACATCGACTCCCCAGAGGCCCACATCTCCGTACCCTTTGAGAGCTTCGGGTTTTTGGGTGTTTTTGAGGGCTAGGGGGTAGAGTTGTGGGTTTAGGGTCTAGGGTTTAGGGTTTAGGGTTTAGGGCTTAGGGTTTCGGGATTCAAGTCGCGCCCCTCCTGCCCGGCCCCCAATTTCCCCCCTTCCAGCCTCTCACTCGAGCAAGCCAGGACATCTGAAACATCAAAGCCAAACTGCGGGTAGGATTTAGGGTTTAGGGTTCAGGGTTCAGGGTTCAGGGTTCAGGGTTCAGGGTTCAGGGTTCAGGGTTCAGGGTGCAGGGTGCAGGGTGCAGGGTGCAGACGCAACCCACCCAACAAGGGGCTTTAGGGTTTATTGTTTAGGGTAGGGGTTACAGGGCCGGACTTGAGGACAGCAGGGTTTTGGGGGTTCCCAACATCGGCCTCATAGGTATAGCTACAACATGTCGGGGTTACAGTTGTCGTGGGCCCCCAGTTAAGAGTGTTTGGGGCTTAGGCAGATGCATGTAGCCCTAAACCCTAAACCCTAAACCCGAAACTCTACACCCTACAAACTGTGTCTGGTCGTTTTCCGCCCTGCAACTTACTCACACAACCCGCCACACACCAGCAGGCAGCCGAACCGAAGCCGCCGGCCAGCACCACGTTTTGGGGTTTAGGGTTTGGGTTTTTTAGGGTTTAGGGTTTAGGGTTTAGGGTTTACGGTTTAGGGTTTAGGGTTTAGGGTTTAGGGTTTAGTGTCTAGCCATGTTGGATCCAGCATGACGGTTGCGAGTGTGAACCCTTCAAGCCCCAATGTCTCTGCTGGTGGAACATACGCTAAACCCGAAAACCTAAACCCTAATGTCTGTAAAAGAGCATCAGAGGAGATGCCCCTTAACCCTGAACCCATACCCTAAACCCCGAACCTTCAACCCTCATCTCCACACCCTACACCCCAAACCCGAAACCCCCCACCAGTCGTCCCTAACACTACCCCCTAAACCCTCAAGCCTGACCCGGCCCCCCGAAGACTTCGAGAAGCAAGCCCTGAGAACCTTAATCCCCCTCATCCGCACGTCAGCCTCGCTTTGGGGGGTGCTTCGGGCACCCTAAACCCTAAACCCTAAGCCCTGAACCCTAAACTCTAAACCCTAAACCCCACACCCTAGGCTTAGGGTTTAGGGTTTGGCGATCCTGGTACCTACCAGGATGGGCTTTTTTTCACCTGACGATTGCAGAGGGGCCTTGTCCAACCTTCGCCAAGACGCGGTTTCGGGTTTAGGGTTCAAAGGTTTAGGCGGTTTAGGCGGTTTAGGGTTTAGGGTTTAGGGTTTAGGGTTTAGGGTTTAGGGTTTAGGGTTTAGGGTTTAGGGTTTAGGGTTTGGGGTTTGGGGTTTGGGGTTTGAAGCTTTAGGGTTTAGGGTTTAGGGTTTAGGGTATTAGGGTTTTAGGGTTTTAGGGTTTTAGGGTTTTAGGGTTTAGGGTTTAGGGTTCCAGGTTGGTGATAGAGTGTCACAGTACTTGCCAAGGAACGGCGCGGCGCGTTTCGCGGCTTTGTCGGCCTTGGCGGCTCTGGCGGCCCTGGCCCTGTGAGAGCCTTCTTGGTAGCCCAGTGGTACCCTTTAACCCTGTAGGGTTTAGGGTTTAGGGTTTAGAGTTTCGGGTCTCAAGGGCTCTTTCATGAGACCCCGCAACTCGAAGCTCTCCCCCAACAAACCGCCTGAAAGAATCGAAGTACCGGACAAGCCGGCATGGCCTCGAAGCAGCTGACGGAAAAAAGATACACAAGAGGACCGCTGGGACTAAGGGCTCAAGGATTTCAAGATGAGTAATGCAAGGGGTTTCGAGTTTGGGCGCTTGGGGCTTAGGGCTGTGAGCTCATGTATAGGGCTTAGGGCTGCAAAGTAACCCAAACCCTAAATCACGGTAGGGTCTCTGAAGGCCTTGTAGTCGCCTAGACCGCAAGTTACGAAGCCCGTCAGGCTGGGTTTACTCGGGCCCCTAAACCCTAAACCCTAAACCCTAAACCCTAAACCCTAAACCCTAAACCCTAAACCCTAAACCCTAAACCCTAAACCCTAAACCCTAAACCCTAAACCCTAAACCCTAAACCCTCTCTTACTATGTATATTTAAACCCTAATGACCTTCGTCGGCAAATGGTTTTTTTCCACCCGGGGGGGGGCCCTAACCCTGACCCCCTTCGTCGGCAAATGGTTTTTTTCCACCCGGGGGGGCCCTAAACCCTGACCCCCTTCGTCGGCCCTAAACCCTGACCCCCTTCGTCGGCAAATGGTTTTTTTCCACCGGGGGGGGCCCTAAACCCTGACCCCCTTCGTCGGCAAATGGTTTTTTTCCATCTGGGGGCCCCCCCAAAACACCCCAAATGAGGGGGACCCCAGGATCGGCCCCGGCCCCAGTTCAAAATGCGATTTTTTAGTATTGAAATCGACGGTTCTGGGTGGCCTCCTGTTTTCTGGATTTTGACCAAAACCGGGGGGGGGGCCCTAAACCCTGACCCCCTTCGTCGGCAAATGGTTTTTTTCCACCCGGGGGGGGCCCTAAACCCTGACCCCCTTCGTCGCCAAATGTTTTTTTTCCACCCGGGGGGGGTCCTAAACCCTGACCCCCTTCGTCGGCAAATGGTTTTTTTCCGCCCGGGGGGTCCTAAACCCTGACCCCCTTCGTCGGCAAATGGTTTTTTCCACCCGGGGGCCCCCCCCAAAACACCCCAAATGAGGGGGACCCCAGGATCGGCCCCGGCCCCAGTTCAAAATGCGAATTTTTAGTATTGAAATCGACGGTTCTGGGTGGCCTCCTGTTTTCTGGATTTTTGACCAAAACCGGGGGGGGTCCTAAACCCTGACCCCCTTCGTCGGCAAATGGTTTTTTTCCACCCGGGGGGGGCCCTAAACCCTGACCCCCTTCGTCGGCAAATGGTTTTTTTCCACCCGGGGGGGGTCCTAAACCCTGACCCCCTTCGTCGGCAAATGGTTTTTTTCCACCCGGGGGGGGCCCTAAACCCTGACCCCCTTCGTCGGCAAATGGTTTTTTTCCACCCGGGGGGGCCCTAAACCCTGACCCCCTTCGTCGGCAAATGGTTTTTCTATTTGGGGCATAGGGTTTAGGGCTCGTAGGGTTTGGGGCATAGGGTTTAGGGCTAAATTTTGCTCCCAAAACACCCCAAATGAGGGCGACCCCAGGATCGGCAAGGGTCCCAGTTAAAAATGCGATTTTTTAGTACTGAAATCGACGGTTCTGGGTGGCTTCTCGTTTTCTGGATTTTTGACCAAAACCGAGCTTCACCAGCTTCAGGATTTCAAGTTTTTTCACGTTCTGTCAAGGTTTTTCAAAGTTTTCAATTTTTATTAAGGTTTTCAAATGTTTTTCAGGGTGTTTCAGGGTTTTTTAACCCTCAATTCTGATGACGGGCCACCCCGGCGACCTTTTCACAGTCTAGTTTTGGTCAAGGGGGGGTAACCGTAGGGTTTAGGGCCCTAAGAGCATAAAGGGCTTATTGCGGGCCTTAAATTAAATTTCGGGTGTTGGGTCCGTTAAAAACTAAAATATTTTGGACCAATTGGACTTTGAGCTTTAAGCCTACCGGGAAAGTATTGAGTGAACTTTATATTTTCTCAATGTTATGGGTTTCTTGGGTGGGTGGGATTTTTTTCCAACGCTTGACAAGCTGCTTGACTAGTGAATGCTCGGACTTAAGATGCTGAACCCTAAACCCTAAACCCTAAACCCTAAACCCTAAACCCTAAACCCTAAACCCTAAACCCTAAACCCTAAACCCTAAACCCTAAACCCTAAACCCTAAACCCTAAACCCTAAACCCTAAACCCTAAACCCTAACTAAACCCTAAACCCTAAACCTCCGAAGCGCGAAGCCCAACATGCGTTTAACTACGCAACGCGAAGTCCTTTTTTTTGTGGCTCGGCAGGCGCAGAGCACTGCTTGAAGAACTCACTGACGTGGGCATTTCCTAAACTAGGGGGTACATACCTGTGATACACCCGAAAATACTAAAAATCACATCCTCATAATATGGCAACCCCACAATGGTTCCCCCCCCCCCCCGGGTGCTCGTTACGTTGGAAACCCGCATGTGTTGGGCTGGCCAAGGAGTACGACCGCGTCGGCTATGTGCTTAATGCCGCGGGCTTGGCCAGGTGATGCAGTGTTTAGGGTTTAGGGTTTAGGGTTAGAGTTAGGGTTTAGGCTTAGGCTTTAGGCTTTAGGCTTTAGGCTTTAGGCTTTAGGCTTTAGGCTTTAGGCTTTAGGCTTTAGGCTTTAGGCTTTAAGGTTACGGGTTTAGGGTTTAGGGTTTAGGGTGTGGTGGCCCAAGGGATCCAAAACCCTAAACCACGTAGACCCTCTAAACCCTAAGCCCTGTACCCCATCGTTCGTAAAAATAGAGATAGTGCGCGCACACGTGGTTGCAATGGAGTGTTTTTGCTATTGTTTTTGTTCGGAGAAAGCATCCTGAAACTAGTTGCAGTTGTAGAAATTACCCCCCCCCCCCCTCCCCCCAATCGCAATGCGATGGCATGAAGAGGTTGGCGACAACTTCTACTGGGGTGGCATCGATGGCAAATGCCAGGGCCCTGGCGACTCTGCGGGGGGTTTGGGATCTACCAGGTGTGCTGGCCTCGGGGTTTTGGGGTGTGGGGCTGAGAGAAAAGCCCTAACCCCTAACCCCTAAACCCTAAACCCTAACCCTAAACCCTAAACCCTAAACCCTGAACCCTGAACCCTAAACCCTAAACCCTAAACCCTATCACAAAGTCCATGGGTGTTTGGGGTATACGGTATTCAAGTTCAGGGCTTAGTGTTTATATCGCTTCGTCCTTGATGTTGCTTAGGGCTCAGAACTTCCTTCTCCTGACCAAATAAGAGTTAAGCAAGCTTTAGGGTTTAGGGTTTAGGGTTTAGGGTTTAGGGTTTAGGGTTTAGGGTTTAGGGTTTAGGGTTTAGGGTTTAGGGTTTAGGGTTTAGGGTTTAGGGTTTAGCTTTTAGGGTTTAGGCTTAACCATGATCGATCTTGAACGTACCCCGAGCCCCTGCAGAGGCCTTACTCGAACGCTCATTGGTACTGGCAAGCGGGGTTTACTACTAGGTCGCACGTGCACCTAAGCCAGACTTACAGGGTTTAGGGCTTAGGGTTTAGGGTTTAGGGTTTAGGGTTTAGGGCTTAGGGCTTAGGGCTTAGGGCTTAGGGTTACAAGTACATATGAACTTGTCCCCGAGCCCAACCCCGCCGCAAGCCCTCCTACGGTAGTTCCCAATGCCAGAGATGGGCCGCACCCCGGAATCCCAAGGGTTTAGGGCTTGGGTTGTCTAGGCTTACCCTGAACCCTAAACCCTAAACCCTAAACCCTAAACCCTAAGCCCTAAGCCCTAAGCCCTAAGCCCTAAGCCCTAAGCCCTAAACCCTAAACCCTAAAACCTAACCACAAAACCCCAAAACACCAAAACCCGACGACGAGGTGGTCAGGACATGGATGCCTTCGATGGGGGCCCACAGCCGTCTCACTCAGAGATGTCTCCGGTTTTCTGGATTTTGGGGTATAGGATTCAGGGTTTAGGGCTTGGGGTGTAGGATTTAGGGTTTAGGGTTTAGGGTGTTTACATAGGGTTTTTGCCGCTTGTGCATGATGATAGGAAGTTAAGGAAGCGGCCAGATTGTACCGGGCTGCCTAAACCCACCGCTTGATATACGATGCCTCAACAATTAGACTGGGATTTGGGGGGTTAGTTCTAGTATAATTATAGAGGGACCATCAGGGAACAGAAATTTGGGCCCTCTATAATAATCCCTTAAAGGGTATATGTAGGGCCCTAATTCCCTCAAACCCTAACCCGAAACCCGAAACCCGAAACCCTAAACCCTAAACCCTAAACCGTATTTATTCCGACCCTGTATAACCCTCTCATGACCAGCAGCACGTCATCTCAGTCCTTCGGCACCAACAAGGCACCAGCGGTCTGGGGTTTAGGTTTTAGGGTTTAGGGTTTAGGGTTTAGGGTTTAGGGTTTAGGGTTTAGGGTTTAGGGTTTAGGGTTAGGGTTTAGGGTTTAGGGTTTAGGGTTTAGGGTTTAGGGTTTAGGGTTTAGGATTTGTGCGTTTCGAGTCCACCCTGCAAGGCCCAGAGCTCGCCACAGGTTTCGTAGTTGACGGCAGAAGCCCCCAGTGCCCAAGCTCAGCTTCAGCCAAAGGTGGACGTATGTCTATGAGAAGATGTGCAGCCCTCAGCCACGATGTGTTGGGACGGGGGAGGGAGGGGGAGATAGGGGGAGATAGGGGGCGTTGACGGAAACTCAGGGGCGTTCTGGGACACAGGAGCTGTGGCCGGAGTCTGAAGTGGCTCAAGTGCACAGTTCAGCAGTGGAGGGGTGTAGCTGGTGGCTCATGGGCTCTGCCGCCGGTGTGAGTATCAAGGACTCACGAGGCCTTGAAGTCAACGCCTTCCACTCACTGAGGGCCCGCGTGCAGCAATCCGGGACTTTCTCCGAGGAGGCACAGCATTCCGAGAGCCTTCCGGAGAGGAGAAAGTGCCAACGAGTCACCCACATCACGTCCGATGAGTGTGCTGAGTTGGTCAGCTCCATGAGGGAGGAATGCCTGGGCACAAGCGCCTCCTTCCGGGTGAATCGCACTGCTGGCCACTCCATTGGGGTTAATGACTACACCCGCCAACTGGCTCGAGGGAGGTTGAGATTGCTGACGCGCTTGCCAGGAAACCCTGGACATAGTGAGTAGGACGCTCCCGGATTGAGTCAGTCATGCAAGGAACCCCCCGACCAGCACCATCGGAATCCAAATGCTGAAAACTCATCGCTGTGCGCAGCAGCATCTATCAGAATGCACGGTTCTGATTTGTGACACGCTTTTTGGGATCCGATGGTTGCAGCAGCCTACGTCTGCACCCGCTCCTCAGTGTAGCGGGAGGGCGGGGCGGAGGGGGGGGGGGGGAGCATGTATGCGCCCTTGCCATTCAGGCATGTGAGTCGCAGTTTTAACGAAACCCCGTGGGCACATCCGAGCCGGTACTCTGTTGGAGTGCCAGTCTTGGTGACTTTTCCAGGATGTACTCAACGCGGGTGCTAGTCACTCAAGCTGATGGATGGCCCTGCTTGCACCCCACTGATCTTCAAGCCCTGCCAACCCTGAGAAACTTGAGTCCAAAAGAGAACGCAGCAAGTATGATGGGAAAGAGCTAGCTCGAGGGAGGTTGAGATTGCTGACGCGCTTTCCAGGAAACCCTGGACTTAGTGAGTAGGACGCTCCCGGATTGAGGTTGTCATGCAAGGAACCCCCGACAAGCACCATCGGAATCCAAATGTGGATAGGAACTTCTCTGTTCTCACTCATTGTTCTGAAAGCTCATCGCTGTGTGCAGGAGAATCTCCCAGAATGCACGGTTCTGATTCGTCACGCGCTTTTTGGGATCCGATGGTTGCAGCAGCCTACGTCTGCACCCGCTCCTCAGTGGAGCGGGAGGGCGGGGCGGGGGGTTGCCATTCTGAGTCAGTGTAACGAAACCCCGTGGGCACATCCGAGCCGGTACTCTGTTGGAGTGCCAGTCTTGGTGACTTTTCCAGGATGTACTTAACGCGGGTGCAACTTGCTCAAGCTGATGGATAGCCCTGCTTGCTCGCCACTGGTCTTCAAGCCCTGCCAACCCTGAGAAACTTGAGTCCAAAAGAGAGCGCAACAAGTATGATAGGAAAGAGCTAGCTCGAGGGAGGTTGAGATTGCTGACGCGCTTGCCAGGAAACCCTGGACTGAGTGAGTAGGACGCTTCCGGATTGAGTCAGTCATGCAAGGAACCCCCGACCAGCACCATCGGAATCCAAATGATGAAAGCTCATCGCTGTGCGCGGCAGAATCTCTCAGAATTCACATCTTGGTTCTGAGTTGTCACGCACTTTTGGGATCCGGTGGTGGCAGCAGCCTACGTCTGCACCCGCTCCTCAGTGGAGCGGGAGGGCAGGGCGGGGGGGGAGCATGTATACGCCCTTGCCATTCTGAGTCAGTTTAACGAAACCCCGTGGGCACATCCGAGCCGGTACTCTGTTGGAGTGCCAGTCTTGGTGACTTTTCCATGTTGTACTGAACCCGGTGCAACTTACTCAAGCTGATGGTAGCCCGAGTGCTGGATGTTCGCTTTGCTTGCTCCCCACTGATCTTCAAGCCCTGCCAACCTTGAGCAACTTGAGTCCAAAAGAGAACGCTGGAGAACCCCAAAAGAATAGTCAATACGAATCCCTATATTACCCTTAATAAGCAACAATCCTTTTTCGGGGTTCTTAAGCAATTAGTCGTGTATGAACCCTCAACCCTAAACCCTAAACCCTAAACCCTAAACCCTAAACCCTAAACCCTAAACCCTAAACCCTAAACCCTAAACCCTGTTTGATGGGAGAGGAGCTGCAAAGCTTGGAGAGTTGGACCTGTCGTCCAGCTCCATATCAGCTCATTCAGTGCTAAGGTAACAGGCAGCCATGCAAGGGTTTAGGGTTTAGGGTTTAGGGTTTAGGGTTTCGGGTTTAGGGGTTATGTGCAAAGCAGGCAAGCAGCCCCCAAGTTTTAGGCTCGTTGGCGTGGTAACTGCTTGTTGCTTGTGGCTTCTAGTTACTGGGGTGGATTGGGGTCCTAATCCTTTTCTACCCTAAACCCTAAACCCTAAATCCTAAACCCTAAACCCTTTTTGCCCATAGAAGTTTAAGTTTTTATATGGCCCGAAAATCCCCCCCAGGGTAATGCGAGAGTTCTGTCCGAGCCCACAGTGGTGAGTACCTCCCATCGCAGCTGTCCACCAGAGGAGGCCGGCCGCGGGTACCAGCTCCGGAGCTTGCCCGTAAGGCTCAGGTCACACTGGTTTCATTGCTTCCCGCCTGCGATGTTTGTCGGGCAATTTGGCCGCATCTACATGAACCCTGAACCCTGAACCCTAAACCCTAAACCCTAAACCCTAAACCCTAAACCCTAAACCCTAAACCCTAAATCAACAAACCCTATACGTCCTCAAAGCCGGTGCGGTATTCCGCACTCCTCTCCCCCTGCCCTCCCAAGTCTCAGCTTGCCGGCCAAAAGCGGAGGAAAGGTCGACTGCTTTGCAAGTTGCAGGGTTTAGGGTTTAGGGTTTAGGGTCGCGTGACCACATGATGACGTCACAGAAGGGTTCGCGAGGGCTCCACCATCACCGCTTGGACCTAAGTAGTCAAGGAATTTAGTGTTTAGGGTTTGGGGTTTAGGGTTTAGGGTTACTGCCATCACGGTCTAGAAAGGGCGCAATATCTAGATCAACAGCCAAGTGGTAAACCCCTAAACTCGCAAAACCCATAAAACCCCTAAACCGGGCTTTGAAAGTGAGGGTACCCTTCTTGGGGGTCCCTTGAAGGGGATTCTGTTTGGGGTATCAAAGGGGTACCCCCCTTTTCCGGGAAATACCCATACGAGGTGATAGAGTTTTTGGCTCCCCGATGTGCTGATTCGCACCAGTTTGGCTCGCAGGTACCATGGTCCTCTGGACAACCTCCAGCGCGGGACTTAAGCGTTTTTTGAGACATGATTGTTGAAACCTTTGAAAGTTTTGATGCTAAGAATATTCAAAACTTCTGGTTCTGACGTTGACGATTATTCTACTAGTAAGATCTTGGTTTGCATTGACTAGTAGTACTAGTTGAAGCTTTATGAATAGCATGCTAATTGCTACGTTTTTCTTTCATTACTCCCCACCCTTCGGTGTGGGGTTGCTAGATTCATCAACTCAACTCTTCTCCTCGCCCGGACCTCTTGCCGGTCACCCTAAACCCTAAACCCTAAACCCTAAACCCTGGAGTGCCCAACCCCAAAGTGTCCCTGGAGTGCCCACCCCCAAGTGTCGGCCCTGCCCTACTACCTCCCCCTATACTACCCTCCCGAGGTTCCGCCCGCAATGAAGGGCGATTTAGGGATTAAGGGGGGGAAACTCTTTAGGCCTTTAGGGGTTTAGGGTTTAGGTGGGGAAACGCTCTAGGGGTTTAGGGTTCTTGCGAGCCCCATGGTGCCCTTTTCCCTTTTTTGGGTGTGGTTCAAGGTTCGCCAAAACAGTAGCAAAAGCCAAAAGAAGGGGTACCCGGGGTACCCTTATTTGAAGATGGTTACTGGCGTACCAAGAGGGCTTTGGGTTGCAAAGGCTAGGGTTACGGTTGAGGGTTTAGGGGTTTAGGGGTTTGGGGGTTCGGGGAGGGGTTGATTAGGGGTTAGGGTGTAGGGTGTGCATCGGTGTATGCACGCAGGGTTTGGGGTTTGGGGTTGAGGGGTGGAGGGGTGGAGGGGTGGAGGGGTTGAGGGGTTGAGGGGTTGAGGGGTTGAGGGGTTGAGGGGTTGAGGGGTTGAGGGGTTGAGGGGTTGAGGGGTTGAGGTTCAGGGTTTGGGGTTTAGGGTATAGGGTTTAGGGTTTAGGGTTACAGGGTATAAGCCGAAGCTTTGAGGGCAGAAGAGGAAGAGCAACAGCCTGCTTTTGCTCCCTAAACTTTCACCCCGTGGAGAAGGGAACCCCTAAACCCTAAACCCTAAACCCTAAACCCTAAACCCTAAACCCTAAACCCTAAACCCTAAACCCTAAACCCTAAACCTGGAAGGTGGCTGGGTGTGCTTGGCAACCACGACTGGGGAGGCAACTGGTTTGCGCCATGACTCTTTCCACGTTTTGTTTTTTGTTTCATGAGTTGCTTGCTTGGTTTCTGTACGGAGGAACCCTCAACCCTAAACCCTAAACCCTAAACCCTAAACCCTAAACCCTAAACCGGTGTAGGGGCTTAGTGTCTTCTGGGTACAGGGGGCTGACGGCTTGACGTCAGGATTTTTAAAGCGAAGCATTGCGGAGGGTTGAGGGGTATCAACTGGACCCGAAAACCTCCCACCACCACCACCACCACCACCATTTTCTCAATTCTACCCTAAACCCTAAACCCTAAACCCCCCACTATGCTGGGCTTAGGTCTTAAAGGGCTGAAAAGTCCTCGTAAACCCTAAGCCCTAAACCCTAAACCCTACGAATTGGAGTCCCTTCTCTCGTCCCTTCGTGCTCAATCGTGCTTCCCCTATAGAAGCCTTCCGAAGCCGCACCTAAACCCCCCTAAACCCTAAACCCCAAACCCTAAACTCTAAACCCTAAACTCTCAACCGGCCCTTGGGATATTTTACTTTTTCCCTTATTCGGTTCAAGAGGATTATATTTAAGAATATTCAGATGGTTTAAAGGGTCATCCTAGTATGCAACTCTAAACCCTGAAAGTCTTCGACCCTCAGCCCCAAGCCATCTATACCCTAAACCCTAAACCGTCTAAACCTCAAACCCCAAACGCTAAACCGTCTACACCCCAGACCTTAAACCCTTAAACCCTGAACCCTAAACCCTACAACCCTAAAATCCCTAGAACCCTAAACCCTAAACCCTAAACCCTAAACCCTAAACCCGAACCTCACTCCGAGAATCAGGATGGAACTACCTCTCCGCGTGGGACCAGATGATCTCATACACCTGGGGTGGCCCAGGCCCCACGGCCCTAAACCCTGGGTTTAGGGTTTAGGGTTTAGGGTTTCACCTAGAAACCCTAGAACCTTAAGTACAGAATTCCCAAAACTTGCATATCTTCGGAGCAGAATGTGCTCCTGAACATCCCCAAACCTTCCAAGACCAAAGCAGCCAGGGCTTGAGGTTTAGGTTTTATACAGGGTCTGGCACAGGGCTTGGGACCTAGGGCTTAGAGTTTAGGGTTTAGGGTTTAGGGTTTAGGATTTAGAGTTTAGGGTTTAGGGTTTAGGGCTGGGAGTTGTGAGTGCTACGCGAATCACACTTTGACAATAGCATGCATATACAACCCTTATATACACCTTGTTTATAGTCCCTATATACCTAAGTAGCCCCCTAAATGTCCCCCAAAGACCCCCTAAGGTCCCACAAGTGCCCTAAACCCTCAACCCTAAACCCTAAACCCCAAACCCTAAACCCTAAACCCTAAGGTCCCTCCTTTAGTCCCTTACATGCAGGCTCTACCAACCGCTGGTTCCAGCCAGCTCTCTTCTACAAGTATCTCGGCGTCTGAGCTCCTGACTTTTGGCGAATCAAGGGTTTAGGGTTTAGGGTTTAGGGCTTAGGGTTTGGGGTTACCCCCAAACCCTAAGCCCTAGACCTGGAACCGGGTTTAGGGGTTCAAGGTTTAGGGTTTGGAGTTTAGGGTTCAGGGGCGCGCCCTGTTGTGTTCTTGGAGCCCTCGTGTCTCTCAATCAGTTGATTGGTCTTCGGACGCTGCCGTTTCGACTCGAAACCCTAAACCCTAAACCCTAAACCCTAAACCCTAAACCCTAAACTTCAAGCTTCTCGTTTTCTAAACCTAGAGCTATATACTCTGAGCACCGAAACCGTCGAACCCCTGAACTCGAAAACGAAACCCTGAACCTGAAGCCCCTAGACTCCTACACCCTCAACTCTGTACCCTCAACCCCAAACAGAAACCGTAAGACCTAATACCTAAACCCTAAGCCCTAAGCCCTAAACCCTAAACCCTCCCCCATAGGCAGCCAAAAAAATATGTCAGCCGAGGCTCCGGGCGATTTACCTCAAGGACCCCACAGCAGGTCCCGAGGTCGAAGAGGCCGCCGGTGCGTTTTGCAGGGTTTAGGGTTGAGGGTTGAGGGTTGAGGGTTGAGGGTTTAGGGTTTAGGGTTTAGGGTTTAGGGTTTAGGGTTTAGTGTAGGGGTTTGGGGTTGCAAGCTTAGCGTGCTTGAGGTCCTGCCTACAAGTACTACATTTTGTCTACCTTGAAGTGAAGGTTCTTGGGTACTTATAAGTAGGGTTAGTATGGTGATAACCGTAGTCACCCCAATTCTAACCCTACTTAGAAGTATCCATGAACCTCCAAGTACAAGCAACCCTAAACCCAGAACCCTGAACCCCGAACCGAACCCTGAACCCCAAAACCCTAAACCCCACTTGCAAGTATCTGTGAACCTCCCACTACGTCTTGTGGCCAGGGCTTTGTCGTCGACTACTTCTTCCTGGACCCGGGAGGGATCGTTTAGGGCTTTTGAGGGTTTAGGGGTTGGGTGCAGGGTTTAGGGTTTGGGGTTGTAGGGTTTCAGGGTTTTAGGGTTCAGGGTCTTGGGTCTTAGGGTTTCAGGGTTTTATGATTCAGGGTCTGGGGTTTTAGGGTCAAGGGTTTGGGGGTTTACGGATTCGTGCGAAATGCCTTGTCAGAGACCATTTGCAAGCCCCAAGCCCTCAATCAATCCTTCTAAGATGTAGACTCTAAACCCTAAACCCCAAACCCCAAACCCCGAACCCTAAACCCTAAACCCTAAACCCATCTTATAGCGTTCTTCAGGGGGAGGGAGTTCATGCGGGGTAGGTACTTAGGGAACCTTAGGGAAGCTTAGTGAGCCTTCGGGAGTAGTGATTAGGGAACCTTGGGTTACCTACCTTCCTTGAGCCCCCCTCCCTTAAGAACCCCGTAATCTTCATCAACCTTACTTGAGCTCAAGTACTCTACTATGAGCTTAAGAACCCCAAAAGAATAAAGCATGATAATCCCTATACCCTCATAAGGAAGAATAGTGTTATTGATTTTTTTTGTGGGGGGGTGGGGGGGAGGGGTTCTGAAGCAATTGCTAGTACTTAAACCCTAAACCCTACGCCCTACGCCCTAAACCCTGATCCCGAATTACTTGGGCTTTCCTGCAATACGCCAGGACACCAACATGTACGACGCTTTCGATCCCGAGACAGAGCCGTGGCAGATGTTTGATGTTTGGGAGGCGCAGGGTGTAGGTTTTTAGGGGTTCAGTAAGGGTTTAGGGTTTAGGGTTTAGGGTTTAGGGTTCAGGGTTTAGGGTTTAGGGTTTAGGGGTTAGGGGTTAGGGGTTAGGGTTGTTGGGGTAACCCTCAGCCCTAAACCCTAAAGTCCGCTTAGGAGTTGCGTGTACGTACTTTTGTTTACATAGACCTGGTTGGCCTCTGAGATGGTCAGATATTCTCCCTAAAGACCCCAGGGATTACGCACAATATTAATCAACCCGGCTGTTCCCCTTGGGATATATAAGTCCTTTCTTTCAAGCGCCCTAAGGCCTAAGCCGTAAACATGTGTTAAATGGGTGTTCTAAGGGTTTATAAGGGTGTAGGGTTTCCTAGGAGTAGAGTTAAAGTCCTTCAGGCAGGGGGCTTCATGGGGGCTAGGCACCTAAGGAACCTTCAGGAAGCTTAGGGAGCCTTCGGGAATAGTAGGGAGTGTGAGGGATCCTTGGGTTTAGAGTTTAGGGTTTCGGGTTTAGGGTTTAGGGTTCAGGGTTTAGGGATGTTTAATGTTTAGGGTTTAGGGTACCCTCTCCCCCCCCTTGGAACCCCCCCCCCCCCCCCCCCCCGCCGTGAAGATGCCGAGGATCCGGCACACAACATCTGCGGTGCAAGCCTCGGTCGGCTGTTGATATGTTTGGGGCGGTTTAGGGTTTAGGGTTTAGGGCTTAGGGTTTAGGGTGTAGGGTTCAGGGTGGAAAAACGAGATGATGGTTCTGATCGTTTTGGGGGGGGGGGGCCTTAGGGTGGAGGTGAACCCGTATGAACCCTAAAGCCATAAACCCTAAACCCGAAATCCCTAAACTCTAAACCCCTAAATCCCAGACCCTAATTAAACCCTGCAACCCCTATATAAACCCCCCAAAACCCCCAAACCCCAAATCGCAGCTGCGCTGGCAGATGGGAATGGGAGCGTTGCATCAACCCAAGCTACCCTAAACCCGAAACCCTAACCCCTAAACCCCCTATAGGTGGGTTTGGGGCTACTTCGAGGTTCGTGGTTTACTTGGCAGCCGGTTTTCGGGCTTATCGTTCTGCTTGACTGTAACCTTATTGATCGTTCAGATTTAGGGTTTAGGGAGGTATAACTTACCAGCCTACTTAAGCACCCATTAACCTCCAAGCATGACAGACAGAAGGGTTCAGCGTTTAGGGTTAGGATGGGATAGGTTTAGGGTGTAGGATTTAGGGTTTGGGGTTCAGGGTCTAGGGTTTAGGGTTCAGGGTTTAGGGTCCAAGGTTTTAGGGTTTGGGGGCTTCTAAGCCCCAAAACCCCAAGACTTCAGAGCCTAAACCCATAAAGCCACAACAACCCGAAACCCCTGAACCCTAAACCCCCAACACGCGAAACCCTAAACCCGCACAACCTTAAACCCGAAATCCCAAAACCTTAAACCCTACAATCCCAACACCCTAAACCCTAAACCCTAAACCCTAAACCCACAGGCACCAGTCACAACAAAGAGCTCAAAGGCTGCGAGGTGCCAAATCCTCGGAGGGTGGAAGTTCGAGTTCCCAAAAACTCTTCGGGTTTAGGGTTTAGGGTTTAGGGTTTAGGGTTAAGGGTTTAGGGTTTAGGGTTTAGGGTGCAGAGGTCTATTTTTAACAGAGTCTAAAGGGCACAGGGTGCAGGGTTTAGGGCTTTGGGTTGAGGGTTTAGGGCTCTTTGCGGTTTAGGGTTCAGGGTTCAGGTTTGAGGGTTGGTTAAGTCTAGGCCTGCGATTTATAGGGTTTAGGGCTTAAGGGTTAAAGGGGTTACGTGTTTGGGGTTTCAAAAATATGCAGAACACTTAGTATTCACATGATCTAACCCTGGTTCTTCATTCTTTGGGGGGTTTTGGGGTTTAGGGTACTGTAACCCTCAACGCCCTAAACCCCCCCCCCCCCCCCCCCCCCCCCCCCCAAAGCCCCCTAATCCACACCTTGACCAACAGCCCAAAACCCTAAACCCGAAACCCGAAAACCCTAAACCCTAAAGCCCTAAACCCGAAACCCGAAACCCTAAACCTTAATCCCCGCAACCATGAACACACGCCAGCTTGCCCCTCAAAAGCTTCCCCAACAAAGGCCCAGAATTCCCCAAGTTTAGGGTTTAGGGTTTTTTGGTTTTCAGTTTTGGATTTTTGGGTTGGGGTTTTGGGTTTTGTGTTTTGTGTTTTGTGTTTTGGGTGTTGGGTGTTGGGTGTAGGGTTTGGGGAATCCTAAACCCTTCAATCCGAAAGTCTTCAAGACAGCTAAACTCGAAACACAGAAATATAAGCCAACAAATAAAATATGATGAAGAAGTTTTGGAATGAGGACGCCCTCAATCTCAACGACGTCCGCACAACAAATCGGAGACATCAACAACGGACCCAAAGACATCAATCAACAAGTGGCACACATGTTGTTTTGATTATGGTTTGCAGAGGAGCTTCGTCCCGGAAATAAAACCCCAAACCCTAGACTTCGAACAGCCTACTGCGTCTTGGTAGTGAATTTCGGGATCGGGTTCCCCTTTGTTTCCTGACTGAGAATTTTCTGTCAAAATCAGCCATAAAACCTGAACCCTACACCCAAAATTCCTAAACCCTCAACCCGAAACCCTAATTTCCCAAACCCTAAACCCGAAACCCGAAACCCTAAACCCTAAACCCTAAACCCTAAACCCTAATCCCTAAGCCCTAAGCCCTAAGCCCTAAGCCCTAAACCAAAACAACCCCAAACCCTAACACCCTATGCCCCAAAAAGCCCTGACAAAACACCTAAACCCTAAACCCTAAACCCTAAACCCTAAACCCTAAGGACTGGCCCAGACAGCCCGTTCGCCT